CTGATCAATTTTTATGAGTGGGAAAACAATTAAGATTGAAATTAACTTCCGCTGATGAGCCAAAATTGAGGTATAAAAAGTACATCAACAATAGTAACATCAATTGAGGTGTGGTCAAGAATAGGTAATAGTAATTAAATTGACTTAAAGGCAAAAATCAACATTGAAAGGAAAAGTGATTTTCTTATTGTTATCATGATTTAATTGAATTGATCAAAAATGAAATACAATAGTGAAAGTGATTATTGGTGAGTAGGTTCATCTATCCACCCACTAGTAACATGTAGTAGGTGTTAATTGTGATCACACACCTTAACTTAATGTAAACAATTTACAATTAACCTGATAAATTGTTACGACCAAATTGTTTGTCCAAATTGTGACAAGGTTGTTATGTTTACATTCACAAAATTATTATATAAGTTTGGGACAAGGAAAAGACAACAATCAATCTGAATAACTCTAATCAATATGATTCTGATTCTCGAGTTGATTATACCTTTTACTAATTGACAATTGTCATGATTTCTTTGTGTTCATATTAAATTGTCAATGATTAATTAATATTAATCAAGTAATGTTCATTAACCTTGATTAATGTATCATGTTTACAGGAAACTGTTGTTACATTAATAACAAACGAAAATGATTATCACCATCAATAAAGACCAATGTTATGATTAATGTTTAAGTTGATTAAACTGTTACTTCAAGTTACTAATTCAATCAATCAATTGTTTCAACGATGATTGAGTTTAATTTCAACTGAATACTATAAAATTACAATTAAACAATATGTCCGTCAACAAGAATCAGCAATTAAATGTTAAACATAAAATTAACTAATATCATTGTTTAAAAGCTTTCATATTGTTTCATATTTAAATAATTTGAATGTTGATTAATCAATTGTAATTTATAATGAATTAAATCACAAGAGATAAACGATTATTAATTTTAAATAGCAAGTGAAGGATATTTAATTGTTATGGTTAACAATAGGTAAACATTGAGATGGCCAAGTTAACAAAGATGCCGAGTTAATTGTTCATCTTCAAGGTTTCGGAGGTTTAAATGATTAAAAGACGCTGGACATTTATGATGATATTTCCAACTGAGATACTTATGGTTGACAATCAACAACAATTATGTTTAAACAGCAATCAACTTGTTTTTTTTTTCAAGTTAAACCTCATGTAGATAATAATGACAATGATAACAAAGTTACACCGGAATTATATTTGAATCAAATTGTAGTCAACAATCAACAAATTACAAAAGGAAAGAGCAAAAAAAATGTACATTGTAACCATTGGGTGATCACTGTTACTATCGCTGTTGAAGATTTGCTTTCTTATGGATAAGTTTATTATTAATCTCAGTTCCTTGAGATTATCATGTCAATGGAAGTTTTTTTTCGTTTAATAAAAACGACAATTAAGTGACTCCCTCTCTCTCTCTCTCTTTGATTCTCATGCAGAAAAAGTAACATTTCAATTACGAGTTCATGTTGTTACTTTGTTTTGTTATTGTTGTTGTTTCATCATGATACTCATTTAATTCAAAGGTTTGTGAAAAAAACGCATCTAAGTTTCTGTATTCATGATAAGCTGAATGATGAAACTTTTCAGTTTTGGTGCCTCTTCAACTAACCTTGAAGTTTATTGTCTGTGTTTAGGTGTTGATATGATTTAATTTTTGCAAATGTATTTAATAATTGTGTTAAATTTTAAATTGTTTACAATTTGTTGCAATCATTTCACAATAATAAAGGTAGATTTGTAATTGTTAAGGTGATAGCAAGATTGGATTACCTTTATTTGGATTAGTTACTCTAAATTCATCTTCTCAATAATCATCAGCATGTTATCATGGACAAGTAATTAAGATGATAATGAGAAATGAATTGTAAAGTGGATTGGCTTTTAGGGAAATATTTGTCATCACTGATTGTTGATGGTGATGATGTTTCATTGAACAATATTAATGATGCAAAATGATCAAGTGAAGGTCGATGTTTTCTGAGTGTTGACTGCCCACTTGATGAGCTGGTCATAAGAGAGTATTAGTAATACATGATCCTTACTGTTGGTTATCATGTTGATCAGAATTTGTTTTGGAACTTTTTTCTCTCTCTCTTTCTCTTTCTTTATTCTCTAGATCATATTAAGGAAAAAAGAATATCATTTTTCAAATTTGATTGAAAATCTTTTGTCTTTTTTTTGTGCTTTGCAATTAAATGATTATCTTTTCAAGGAGATAGATTATTTCTCAAGGAGAGAGGGTACTCAATAGAAATTATATTTGAGGACAATAACCGGACAATAGATTAAGAGAGATTAAGTTTAGTAAGGGTAAACTGACCATCACAGTCATGGCACTTTTTTTGCTTCTTTAGTACTTATCAAAGAATCAGGATTATCAATGAGATTTGTAAATAAGAAAATGTATTGACAAGAAAAAAAATTGTAATCAGATTAAAAGTTGATACCAATTTATAGTTTCAAAATAATTTCTATTTGGTTGAAATTCAGTAATTCATCATGAAATTGATGAAATGGCTTGAAAATATCACAAAAGTCTCGTAAAAGTATGTTACCTTTACAAACTATTATACAAACATTATCCAAATTGCTTGATAAATTTAGCTAACTCTGGGTATTGTTGATAATTCAATTGAATTGTACTCTAAAAGTTTCACTATTGTAACAATGATTATTCAATTTAACTACAATAATCAATTGATCTTCAAAAAAAACAAAAATATTAGGATTACAACTAAATAAATTGCTTTGGCCTCTTTCAAAAGGTCTAGAGTCAATTTCCAATAGGCATAATTGTAGGTTGTATTTACCTGTACAAAAGTGCAACTATTGTTACCTGAATTCTGACGATACACTTGCAAATGATCAATACGTGAGCATTTTTACCTGGAAAAAGCTCATCATCTGCAATGAAATAACAGTGAAATTGTTTACAAAGTATTAATAACTTCTGTCTTGCATGAAAATACCTGAGGCAAACATGTAATGTAGATGATTTTTGAAAGAAGACAATAGAAAACTAATTGCAAAACTAAGCAGATGATAAAAGAAAATAGTTAATCGTGATTATTAGTAACAATCAAATCAAATCAATAGCAATAAACAGAGAGAGATCTTATTTGGGCGAGATAACAACTGATAAAATCAACACTGGAACATAATTTATCCAATTCATCTGAATCAATAAAATTGTATTTTTCCAACAATAAATAAATCATATTACTCTACAATTAATTAACAATAGATTATTACAGTTATTAGGAATAGAAAGGTAAAGTCTATCACAGGTAAATTAAGATAATTTCATTGAAAGAGTTTTAATATGTGAGTAAATGAAGGTGAACTTAGTGTTTAATATTTAATCGACATTGATTATTGATTAAAAATCCAAGTGAGAAATTAAATTGATTAAACTCTATAATTCAATAGTTAATCACGGACACAATTAGTTGAAAGTATGAAGAGAGATGAACAGCAACAAACAGAAATCATGAAATGAAGCCAAAAACTTTAGAATCGTATTTCGTTTTGACCTAATTGATTAGCAAAATTTTCCTTTCGATTAATCAAAAACCCGTATTAAGATTTATTTTAATCTTTTCTTCCGGATTAGATGTGATAACTCTTAATTTCAACAATTTATTCAATAAATTAACCTAAAACCAGGTATGCGGATATTATCATGAATTTAAATAATTGTTACTTTGTTATTCATCTTAATCATTGATTGATGTTAATCCAAAATCTGTGAGTTAATCAGATCAATTATATTTTTTTTATTCACAAATGAACTATACTAATAATAAGATACATTTATGGAAAGTTAATACTCTAAGGGTGATCAGTAATCAAGCCTACAGGGTAATCATGATAATAGCAATTAAGCTAATCAGATATGTTTCAGTTGAAATAGAAAACTAATCGACAAGTTATCACTGAATATTATTGATCGACATGGAAGAGATAAGAAAAGACATTATCAGCTGTTACCTGTGTAAATCTTGTTTTAGTCATGTTGATTAATTAAGTTAACTGAATACAATTAGAAACTATTAATCTCTGATTTGTTATTATTATTCAATAGATATGGATTAAGGTGGAAAGTGAAACGAAATTGATTGTAGATAATTAGATCAATGTTATGTGATTAGATTGGTTCAAAATTTTACTAATCAGTCAATAAATCAATTCTCGTTGATTTTTACCTGAATTTTTTTACGTTTCTTGACTCGTTCATTTGTTACTTTCACGTTACTATTGGATTAATGATAAATTGATTCTCACCCTAATTTAACAGCACTCCCACTAACAAAAAACAGATAAGCTCAGATTAACTGAACTTATTAATAAACTAACCATATTCACTTTTTGGATTAGTGAAAAAATTGAAACAAAAGTTATCGAATTTGTTAACCTTGAAGAGTTACCTTTCCTTTTTTTTCTCAATTTAATTGAATTAAAATTTATATTGAAAAGTATAATAAGAAAGTTAATCAAAAGATAACAACAATTAATTAAGTTAATCACTTAACAAGAAATCACTATTAAACTAACCGGTATGATTAGTGGTGTGATATTTGAATTGTGTTGTATTATTTATATTATTTATACAATAATTTGGGAAACAATTAGCCTTAATCACTTTGAAGCATGTTAAGTTATTTACAAAAATTGAATTGACAATTTAAGTAATAATTTAAATAATTACGAAAAAGAAACTTAAACTAAAGTTAATTACAAGTTAATTGTAATCACAAATTGCTATTTCTCATAGCTCACTTGCTCTAAATGTTTATAAAAGTTTATCGAGAGTCTATCATATCTTATATTTTGTGTTTATATGATATTTCATGGTAAAAGTATAATATTAAGCTAATCTATTGTATTACAGATATTACGTATGTAAGATTATTATATATCACGATTATCAAGGTGTAAAGTCAATTAATCACTTACCTGCTTTAATTAAACCTGATTCATTAGCAGGTCCTCGGGTAAGTACATCCTTAATGAAAATACCATCTCTCATATTACCACAAATATTAAAACCAAGTCCAGTGAAATCATGTCCAGTCATTTGAACAGAAACTTGTTCCGGTTTCTGGTTCAATCGTAAATCCATTATTGTTATCATTTATTGTAACCATTTCCGTGCCGATCAATTGTTTTCACAGGTAAAGCCAAAGGTAAAAGTATGATGAGAGACACAATGAGAAAAACAAGAAAAGAAAGAGACAATAATTTTTAAATATAGTGTTTACAATCATCGCTAGCATCATAATATATAAAATATTATGATAACTTATTATTATTATTATGTGAAAAAATTTTCTGGGTAGTGTCCGGTTTTATATGAACAAACAAAAGTGCCTCGCCCTGATTCATGGTAACTCTTCAGAGACATTGCCCTTGGCTACTTACCTGTTTACCTGAGTAACATTCAACCCTATGTATCAACTGTTTAACATTAGGAAGTGATTATCACAAAATTATATTGTTGTATTAATATAATTAATTTAGCAAATATTAATACATTTTACACTTAAGCGTGTGCATAATCTTAATTGTTATAATATATTAATAATATTTAATCAAGTTAATTGGTTAGTATTTTACAGTCTAACAATTAAGATCATACAATTTCTTTAAGGTTAAATGATTATTATCAAATTAAATGTAATAATAATAATAATGGAAACAAATCAAAGTTAATCACTCTAATTGGCTATAAATGATTACAATTTAATTCTGTTTTAAATTGTCACTTTCAAGGTTTTATTTTTAAGTTAAATTGACTCTTCTTTTCTAATCGTATATCATAATCAACGTTCCGTATCATTGTTAACCAGGAAAACTAATGTTAATTGAAATTTATTAAAACTTTAAAATCTTTGATTATTGTTGCAAAGTATTGTACTGATATGCTTTTGATGATTATTGTTACGTTTTGGTGAAAATTCATTTTGATTAACAATGATGCAAATTTAAATTGTCACAGAAAGAGAGATACAACTATTAATACACTATGAACTAGTAAACGACATAACCATTCAACTGTTTTACTATTAATATTTGCTACACTAAAATGGCTTTATTTGGGTGATTTACTTGATTATCAGGCATGAATCATGAAACTATCATGGATATTATGATAATAACACATGAACATTTCATATTATTTATTGATTCAAGTTGACTTACACAATTTGGGTTACAATGTTATTATGAATTAGAGATGGTCTTTTTTATATAAATGTACACAAAACATTTAATGATAACTTTCACTTTAATATCTACCTTTACTTTCATTGACTGACAAATTACCTTTACCTTTTTCTTCCTGATTCTAATCATGATAATAATAAATAGTATTCTCAGTCTCAAATGAATAGAGTCCGAATATAGTATTAATATTATAATTCTAATGATTACTAATCAACTTTTTTTTCTATCCCTTGTGTACAATCACCAGACTGATTGATTAATTTCTTCTTCTTCTTTTTCTGTCATTGCTTCCTATCATTAACAACTAATGAAATTTACCATATACATGTATAAGCTAAATCAATAGATTTCCTTTAATTAATTAATCAGAGAGTCAGTTATTAATTTCTAACTTAATAAAAAGTTTGTCATTATTGTTTCTTTGCTAATTTACTGTTTTCATTTATTATCTTGAGATAATAATTGAGAAATTCAGGAACCATCATCATGGTAACATTATAAACAGTTAATAAATAATTCAATTTTTGACTTGGGAACAGGAAAAACATGATAACCATCTAGAAATCAGAGATAATCTGTTATAATTATAATTATCATCTTACCGTCATGATGAAGGTGTCATCCAATGATTTAATTGGCCCTTTGGATTGATTTGAAAGATGATTGAAGACACTGGTAAGTGGTGGTAAACTTTTTATCAACCTTTTATACTGTTTATCCTCATCATTTGAAAGATTTCCATTAGTTTGGTGTTGTTGTTGTTGTTGTTTACCAGCATCAACCTGAGATACAAAAAAAACAAGATTATTGCGATATTAATTAAAAAGATGAGCAAAGATTTCAAGTTCACTTTTTTGTCTTTCAATTTTACATTAACTTCATCATTTGATTGCTTCCGTTAATTAGCATGTTCCACCCCTCTTGTCTCTCTCTCTCTCTCTCTCTCTCTCGCTCGCTCTCTGCTTCTTGTATTAATTGTTTGTCATTCATGTCTATTCATTCATCGTCATTTCTTTTCATTCATTAAAATGATTGTCCTCTTTTTCCGGTCGTCATCTTCTTTCTCTTCATTTTTTTCATCACCATCACTCCCTTTTTCTTTATATCTCTTCCTTTTTTTTCCATGATAATCTGATTGTTTACCTTTTATAATCTTCAGTCAAATTATCTGATCTCCTCATCAGTCTCATCATCTTTAAATTTAACACCTCACAATTAACTATATGATCTAAATTGTTAGACTAAAACTCAAACAGACAGAAATTTTTTAATTACTTGTCTAGCGAATGGATAAATTGACCAAAGATATGCATCAATTCAGCTTCTTAGGAATAAATCAGATAACAAGATTGATTAAACTAATTCATTTCATGGTGAATTGAATAAGATAAAAAAAAGTTTCTTTTCTTCATTCACGAGCATTCATCTTCGAAAACAGCAACATCCCATGCCAATCATGAATTCTTCAAGACTCACTCCTTAACCTTACCTAAAAAAAATTCTTTCTCTTCCAATAGTAAGAAAAGAAATCATTGAAATCCTACATCTCCTTCTAATCATCATCATCATCGAAACTAAAAACAACTTTTAATTTACTTAATTTACACTCAACAATCAACAAGCAAAAAAAAAACAAAATTTCTCTCCACTTTGAAGGTTATCCTTTCAAACGGTTTTCGTGAAGCAATTAGTTAACCAATAAGAAATGAAAACAAGAATCAACAATACGTTAAATGTAAATTATTGTTCAATTGTATCAAAAATTGTAATTATATATTAATATTTACATTGATGATGATTAGGTAACCGAAATTAGATATTTAGAAAAGTGCAATTAAGAGTAAATGATGATTATCTTACCTGAATGGTCTTGTCGTTGAGGAGATCAACATCTCTAATTGAATGGCTACCACCGCCTAATTGGGATGAAGAAAAAAACATAGATTAGATTGTATTAAACAATAAAGAAATTAAATGTTATGCTAATCAATCAAATAGTGATTTAACTTTCGCACTTGATTATCAGCTTTTTTTTCATGTAACTCTCATGTTTTTTTTGATAGCTAAGCATGAAATGTGATGTTGTATTATTGTTGTTGATCTGAAATTATAAGAAACAGTTCAATTAACAAACTAGCCAGTGATTAACCTTAAATTTAGTTTTTTTGCTTTGTTTTGGTTTCTCTTGATATTGGATTTTATTTCAAGGTTCAAAATCATGTAACAAATCAGCTAATTGAAATGAACCATGTATTTTGTATATTCCAATGAGATTGACTCTAATTTAAGTATCTAATTATAGTTTTCTTTACAGTGATTATTATTACATGAAATTGTTATTTACAAGAGAGTCAATGAGAAAGAGATGATGATCATGATGAAAAAAAAGAGAGGGAAAATTGAGAGAGTAAAAGAAAACCAGTTTTGTTTTTCTTATGTCTTATATTAAAATGGTAAATAGCCTTTGGTCATCATCATCTGAGGTAAAATAATTTAAGCCTCAAGTGAAAATATCTCTTCCGAGATCACCAATTGACCTTCCATCTATTAACTAACTATTATCATTATCATTATCTTCTTCATCTTCATCGTCACCATTATTATCATCCAGTTTTATTTTCCTTAAACCCTAAGGCCTAATTTTTTTGTTGTATTGATTATAATGCTAGAAATTGTTACTACCAGAAATTTGAAATTTTTTGCTTCTTTTTTTTCTCGTCTCAATTACTTTGTAAGTTGTCATCAGTTATTACAATACTACCTGTCTGACCTTTCACTGTTATGATGGAAATGCTCCTGGGAATTTGAGGTCATAGGCAATGATGTTCTTACTTGGGATACGATTAATAAGTAAAGGTAAATTGTTAACTTGTCGATATTAACATTCAAATGTTGCGATTTTCAAAGTAACCTTGAATCGTTAAAAAAGACAAGCAATAAAATAGGTTAAGGAAATAATAATAATAATAATAATACATGGTTCAAGGATTTAAACAATTGAATAACAATTGAGTAACGATGAGTTACCGAGTGATCAAGGTTGAATTCATCGAAAGGTAAGAAATAGAATGTTAAATTGTGAATAATATGTAAGCATCACATTGAATAATTTTCTATCGTTTTTGTTTAAGTGATGATGGATAAATTTAGATTACCTGATAGAGTGATTATTTTCTTTTTCCAAAGAAACCAGAAAAGAATTAAAGTTAATCCAATAACAACGATGGTAACAACAACAGATGTAAATATGACACCGAGAATTTCTTCACTTGAATAAGGGCACTTAGTCTGTTGAATTGATGATAATGATGGTGAAGAAAGAAGAAGGAGAAGGAGAAAGTGGTGAAGATGAAGATGAAGATGGAGATAATTGTGGAATAGATGGTTGTACATTTGGCCTTGCGGCTCTTTGACCATTGACACCAAGAGAAATTAAGCAAATGTAACTTAATAGAAGGATAAAAAGGCAAGACAATCTATTTGAACTGATTGTCCAATCAGAGAAACCAAAGTGAATCCGATTAACAGTAACTAACATGATTCCAAGTTGACAATCCAATGTAATTGATTAATAATAATTTGTTACTCATTTAAAATGGTAAAAGACACATGATAATAATTAACGAACAAGAATATATAAAATCCATCTAATTGTAATATTAATAGAGGAGAAAAAAATTCACACCGATTGAAAGAAAACACCAAATTTAACAAAGAGAAAAAAGTAGAAAAAAAAACTTGTGTAATCAAAATTAAAAACGTTGAATTGAAAAATTGATTCAGTAGATTAACATGAAACCAGAATTTGGAATAAAATTTTCACTTGGGAAGACACTTTGATCCTCTGGTTGTTCCAACATAATGTTGTCAATTACCGATGATTAAATTGTTTACAATTAAGCGAACACAATGATTGAGAAAAGAAAAAACAATAACAAAGAATAATAATATTCTTTTTACCTGGAGAGAGAATAAGTTGAATCTGTTCTCATATTAACCTGTCAACAAAATGAAAACAATTCGTCTCAATGAGAGAGTAACATTTTCTATTCTCACCTAAAGTTACCTGAGAATAGAAGAAAAAAAAAATTCGAAAATGACTATCGCCATCTAACGATTTTCGTTGTAACTGATTCGTTTTCTTTTCTTCAATATCGATAATCGATCAGTTCGATTCGATACTATCGACAAGGTTCTTTTTTCTTTTGATAGATGGAGTTGATTGACTGTTTTCTTTTTTTTTCTTTCAAAGTCAAAACAACAAATTGGAATAAAATTTGATTTAACTTTAATTAACTAATTAATTTACGATTATGGGTCGAGTTGATGGTTGGATTAGGCCTTCCGAGCCTTCATGTGCCGTTAAACTTACTAATGGTGTAGCCTTGGGAGTCGCTCGTAAGTAGATTTGTTATTATTTTTGGTTTCGTTTCTTTTTCAATGTTTACACATTTCTCTTATTATTTTATTGTTTAATTGTTTACTCTTTTTTGGTTTTCTTTTTAATTAAATTTAGTTGGTATTGTTGCTGGTATGGTCTCTGGTGGGGCTGCTTGTCTTAGATTAGGATCACGAGGTCGTGATATGTCCATGAGATTGATGAAACATTCATCTGTTGGTATTGGTTGGGGTGTTGTGGTTTGTGGCCTAAGTCAAGCTTCTAGATGTTGATTTATATTTTGTTGGAATTTAATTTCTGTAATTAGATGTCAAAAGATTTTCATTGGTAAAGATTCTGATCAGTTTCAATGTTTGATGATTTTACTCTCTCACTTTAATATCTACCTTTACTCTCATTGACTGACAAGTTACCTTTACCTTTTTCTTGCTGATTCTAATCATGATAATAATAAATATTATTCTCAGTCTCAATTGAATAGACTCAGAATATATTAGTTAATATTTAATTCTCATGGTTATCACTCAACTTTTTCTATCCCTTGAACAATTAATCAACTGATTAACTTTTCCTATGTCATTTCCTATGTGATTCGTCAACATTTAGGATAATCAAGTAATCAGTTGATTTTGATGATTGAGAGCAAATTGATTAAATTTTGTTCTAATAAAATTCATCTCGATATTGATGATAGATTCAAACATCTAATCCTGGGATTGGATCGATAACCTAATTGACTAACAATTTGTTCATTGATTAAATAATTTACAATCAATTTCTTTCATCAATAAGATCAATATATCTTCAGATCTGTCAATTAATTAGTTATCATTAATTTCCTAAATTTAGATGGCAAAATAATGCTAATGGTTAAATCCTTGAATATTTAAACAATTCAACATCTAAATGATCAACAATCAAATAATCATGAACATGAGATTATCATATTAGTCTAAATGGATTGGTGAATATTTTAACATTGGAAGTGATTAAACAATCAAAATAGACGAAAGATCCAAAACAATTTAAATCAAAATTAAGCTTAGCAATCAAAAGCAATTGATTAATGAGTAAAATTAATGCTTAATCACAACCAACGAAGTAGAAAAATAAAATAATCTTGTTTATTTATCAACAATTAAATGAGTTTAATTTATTAATACAGTTTAAATTTGTAGTTTTATTGAAATAATCAACTTGAAAGTTACAAATAATTAATAACAATCAACGAAACAATTAATGAAACTTTTGTCTACTGCGCCTCTACATATTGAATCTGTAATTAATTTCTCTCTCTTTCTCCCTCAATTTAATCACAATTAAGGTAATATAATCAGAGAGATCATGTTGATTACAATTTAAAGATAGTTAGGCAACTTCTTTAGTATCATTTACTGTTAATTGTTCACTGATTGTTGGTGTGAGCAACACTAATTGTCTCTTAACAATTTTGATTCGTTCAACTTTTACTTTTGTTTGATTTTGTTAACTAATTTGGGAAAAATGTTTCCTATAACTGGATTAATTGGCCATTTCAATGTGATTGTGTTTCTAACTCTAAATATCCTGATTAGATGGACAGTGGCTCAAGATAATTATGACAATCAGTGTTTGATTAAGATGAATTCAGCTTTAATCACCTGTGAGGGTAATTTACAAAATCGCCTCGATTTAACAATCAAACCAAATGAATATCAAATCAACGGTGCTAATTGTTGCTATTTGGCTGAATTTACTCATTGTGTTGAAACCCTAACACAAGAAAAGTGTTCAAAACAATTAAATGAATTATATTCATCCAACAATTTCACCATCACAACAATTAACATTCAAAAATGTTCAGACTACTCACTTACTGTAAGTACCACAATTAACAATTAACCATTAAACTAATAATTAACTTTGTGAAAATCAATTATTATGCACAAAATTTCATCTGAAGCTTAAATAATCAATGATCATGAAATTTAATTCATTGATTTATTATCACAAATCAACATTCATGTAACTAATTAATTAGCCAAATTTAATTTATCTTAACTTGCAATAGCATCTGATCAATTGATTAAGGACGTAAATTAGTTTGCAATCATGTTGATAATCTAAATAATTAGGTCACAAAGTAATTAATCGAAAAGGCTAATTAATCACAATTAATGCTAATTGCTATTCGTTGTTCATTGATTATTGATTATTCAATAGGGAATCACTTGTACGATGTTGATTCATATCACTTACATTATCGCGGCGGCGGTGATTCTTGGCCTGATCACGATGGTTTCTTGTGTCGTTGGGTATCGGCGATGGCGGATGCTCAAGATGGAGGCCAAACAATCAATGGGTCCATTTAATAGATACTAATTGTTCATCGAATTGCAACAATTGTTAATTAATTCATTTCGCTTTTACCCCATTCATTCATTTTTGATTACTGATGATATTACATTTTAATCTGATTTTATTATTATCTTCCTATTCAATTAGTTCAACACACATTGTATTCAATATATTTAACCAATAGTTACAATTAACCCCAATCGTTGATTGATTTTAATTGACTGACCTTTAATCAGCTTCATTGGTTATTATGAAATCAAATTAAATATCAAGGAAACAATTATCATTGTGTAAATATGATTACATTTATTTGGCTATAAAAATGTTGATTCTCATTTGATTAAATGCTCGTAATTGTTATAAACTGATAATTTAATCGTTAGTAACAAAACCTTCAAATCTTTAACAGTTAATTAGTTAGATTGTTGGTCAAATTCTTAGTAAATTAAACATCCGATTATCTTTAATTGTCGCATTTCTTTTTGCGAGTTTTCAAACGTAATTGTTGTTCAATTTGATTTTAGTATTTTTTTTGTTTTAATCATCTTTTGACGGAATTTTCAATAATAATTATGAGATTATCTGTAATTGATTAATCAAAATCTTATTGTTATTAAAGTTAAATCGCGGTTGTTACAAGTAATAAGAAAAAAATTTTCAAACAAAAGAGGTAAGAGAAAAGTGACCGATGGAAATTGTTACTGATTAATCAGAATTAAGACAATTAATCATGATCATTCTTCTTTTTGTGATTCTTCAGTAGGTTTAGCAGAAGACATCGCTTTGGTTGATGCTTCTTTTTCCAATGTTTCTCGTTTCTTGGAACCTGAGACAATATCATCGATTCTAAGTAGAATGACAGCCGTCTAAATGGTGAAAGAGAGAAAGAAGGAAATCGAGACAATTAATAAAATGATCTAGCAAATTAGTAATCATGTTATGTAAATTACCTCAACTGCGGTTTTATAAGCTTGTTGTTTAACAGCTAAAGGTTCCCAAATGTTAAGTGTTTTCATATCGACAATTTCACCAGTATCACCATCGATACCGAAAGTTTTATTATCACCGGCGGCGTGTTTGGCTCGTAAAGCGGTTAAAGTTCGTATTGTGTTACCACCACAATTTTGAATTAGTGTCCTAGGGATGACTTCTAAAGCTCTAGCAATAGCACGATAAGGTGCTTGAGATACTGCGGTTAGACCTTTGGCCTTATCACTTAATAGCTGAAATTAAAGGAAAAGAAATTGGCTTTAGTAGTCGTTCGAGACAGTTGAGAGTTGCACAGTTGAATTAGTTACCTTTCCACAAGCCATTTCGACAGCACCACCTCCGGGCACAATGAAAGGTTCTAGAAGGATATTTCTAGCAACACACATAGCATCTTGGAGATTACGTTCAATTTCACCGAGAATATCTTTACTTGCGCCTCGAAGTAAAATAGTACATGCTTTTGGATTTGCACATTCAACAACAAATGAAAAGTACCTGAAATAAGTAATTATTAGTAAGTTAATAAAGAGAAGAGATGGAAAAGGTTATTTGATTAAACTTACTCATCACCAATCTTTTGCACTTCAAAGAGACCAGCCTGGGTTCCAATGTCTTCCTCTCTGATTTCATCGGTTCGGTTAACAATTGTAGCTCCACAAGCACGAGCCAAACGATTGTTATCAGTTTTCTTTAATCGTCTCAGAACTGAAATGTTTGCTTTAGCTAAGAAATGTTGAGCCAAATCAGAAACACCCTTTTCGGTTACAACGAGATCGGGTTTGAACCTGATAATATCTGCACAAACTTGTTGAATATAATCCTCTTCGATTTGAAGTAAAGCGGTAAAATCATTTTCTTTGGTCATCTCGATATCAGTTTGACTTTCACCTTTTTTATATTCTAATCCACAATCGAGGAGAAGAATTCGAGGTTTCTCAATGCGCCTGAAAAATGAAGAGAAAAATGATCATCAATGAATAAGAAAAAATATCTAACAGGTAAATACGAACCTTCGCATCTGAGCGTGAATAACGTCTTTATTGAACATAACACCTTTCAAGACTCTAGAATCTTCAAGAACCCCACCAGGCACCTTTTCAACTTTAGCATAACGTTTGATGTCAATCTCTTTACGACCATTTTCCTCAATGTAAACAGTTCTCACAGCATCTAATGCTAAACGACATGCAAATTCACCGCTTCATAGAAAAAAAAGAAAATGATTCAAAATTATATCATAAATTGAAATGTTAAATGTAAAATAGATCAGATAAGATGAAACTTACGTTCTACCAAGAATTTTTGTTCCAATACAACATTGGATAACCTGAAGAATTTGCTTCTCGTCATTCAAGTCGATGGGAGTAGCAACATCTTTCTTTAAGAAATCGTTTAAATCATCTAGAGATTGTCTAAAGGCTTTAATTATGATGGTTGGGTGCATATTCTTCTCCAAAAATGGTTGAGCGACACACATAAATTCACCAGCCAAGATAATTACGGAAGTGGTACCATCACCAACTTCTTCATCTTGAGTTCGACTGATTTCAATCATCGTTTTAGCCGCAGGATGTTGAACTGTAATCTCACGTAAAATCGCATTACCATCATTGGTCATGACAATTGATCCCATAGGATTCATCAACATCTAATATAGATAAAACAAAGATCAATCCCAGTAAAGAATAAAATTTAACCAAACTTGTAAAATAAACAATCTAATTGAAAGCATGGGTCCAACTAATCAATACCTTTAGCATAGATTTAGGACCAAGACAAGTCCTAATTACATCGGCAATAGCCTTAGCAGCACGGACATTTTCCAATTGAACCTTACGTCCAGATTCACGTTTAGTGTTCTGACCTAAGAATAAAAACAAAATGGAATTGAAAAATAAGTTAATAAATCCAAAGAAAGCAAAAAGAAAATGTTGGATAATTAACAAAGGAAAAATCCAAAAATAACCAAACCCATTCACGCCTTAAACACAATAGTCAGAATAAGACAGAATTAGAAAGACAAGATCAACTCACTTAGAACGAGAATTCTTGGTGCTTCCATTCCAAACATGATGAGTCGAGTGTTGAGTTATCGTTTAATAGAAAAATTAAATAAAGACAATAAGAAAATATTAATCAGATTGATTAACAAACAGTTAAGAAGATGAAATTTGAAAGGGAATCACTTTCTATGAACAATGTTAGTCCAATGCTGTTTCAATTTAAATCGAAACGATCTATCGATTAACTGCTATTTTCACATATTCTTTTCTCTTAAAATAGCATCGAAACGACTCTAAACTCACCGATTGTCTAATTGCTTTAAACTTGCATCAATTTAACCAACAATTTAATTTAATTTCTAATTGAAATTATCAATTGATTGAATTCGAATTTCCTCCTTACAAGACAAATTAATCTTTCGTTCATTCCTGGTATAATTTTCTTTTTTGCCTTCGATTCCATTGAAATGATTGTTGTTGTTGTTGGTCATTTGAATTGTTCAATTACAACATTATGATGATCATTTAATTTGATTGTCAAGATAATTTACTTTTACTAATTGTGAATTTAAGTTCTCTGTTAATTTGTCTTTTGCGAACAATTTAATCAATCTTCATGTATCAAGTGTATCTATTATTCATGTTAATTAAGTCAACACCTTAAGCTTGTCACCTGGAATTGTTTTCTTTTGGTTACTCTGATTTGACTGTTAATCTATTGATTGTCTATTGATTGATTGACAAATCAATAGATTCTTCAAGAATTTAGTTAGTGATCAATGTAAAAAGGTTTCTTCTTAATCTTTTAAGTGTTACCCTTTAAAGCAAAAAAAAGGAACCATTGAAGAACCGATGTCTCTTATTGATGGAAACAATTCTTAATGAAATGTAAGTTGATCATCTTTTGATTTTCTATACAAGTGATTTAATTAATTCCATTAATATAAAGAATCTATTTTTCTATTTTTATTTCTCTATTCAAGGTTGTCAATATTAACCAATCAGTTGGAACATATGTTTAAGCTTCTCTATTTACTAAGTTTTACTCTTTAAATGAAAAAGCTGCGATTGTTTTTTAATTGTTTCATTTTCTTTGACAATTTACCCTCATCAAGTTGATTCTAATTATCGGTGTAACATAAACAATCAACCAGTAACCTTGATTGAAAAGAGGTAAATACTTGAATGTAATTTTCCAAGGGCAAGGGTAAATTTCACCAACAACAACATTCATATTCCAGATACTAATCAATTCAATCATAATGTTTTATCAGTGTGCCAATTGAATTATCTCTCGACATTTTCTTTAATCATTTAAACTCCTCTTTTAATTGTTTCTGCTCACTTCAACTCTCCATACAATTAACATGATAAATTGAGATGAAAATCTCATCTTCATTTTCATTTCAATCAAGTTTTCTGGTTCAACATTTATAGTTGCCCTTTTCTCTTCCTGTTTTCTAATTGACCCTCCTCTCCAATGACCCACCCAACATTTTTATTGATTTAATTAACTTCTCACTAATTTATTTCTCATCCATTGGAATATCAATCTACTTAAATACATTTAACATTTAAATTCTCATCTAACAATAAACCTTCTCTCTCGGTAAGTAAATATTTCCCATCACCTTATTATAAAAATCCTTTCATTTTCCCAATGTTACTATAATAGAAATGATTACCTTTTATTAATTGTTTTTCTCTTGATTTTTCTTTGTTAATTGTTCATTTACAGTTTTTACTCATCTTAAATTGTTGCAATTACTGTTCTGGATCAACAATGTCGAGAGTTATTCTGGTTACTGGTGGTGCAGGTTTTGTTGGAAGTCATTGTGTTCTAACTCTGCTTGAAGCTAATTATGAAATAATTGTCATGGACAATTTATCTAATGCCATTTGCACCGAGATAAATCAAAATTGTTTACCTGAGAGCTTACGGCGAATTGAATTATTAACATCGAAAAAGGTGAAATTCTTTAATACCGATTTATTGGATGAAAGAGGAATCGGTCAAATATTCAGAGATCATAAGATTGGTGCTGTTATGCATTTCGCTGGACTTAAAGCTGTTGGTGAATCGATGGTTAAACCATTAGAATATTATGAGAATAATGTTACTGGAACAATTAATTTACTCAAAGTTATGAGAAAATATAATGTTAAAAATTTAATCTTCTCTTCATCGGCTACCGTTTATGGTTTACCACAATATCTACCAATTGATGAGAATCATCCAACTGGTTCAACAATTACCAATCCTTATGGAAGAACCAAATTTGTTATTGAACAAATTCTCAGTGATTTATCTAATAGTGAAAAGGATTGGTGTATTGTTTCACTTCGTTATTTTAATCCAATTGGTGCTCATGAATCTGGAGAGATTGGTGAAGATCCACAAGGAATTCCTAACAATTTGATGCCTTTCATTTCTCAAGTTGCTGTTGGTCGTCGACCTAAACTCCAAGTATTTGGTGATGATTTCAAGACCAAAGATGGAACCGGGGTCAGAGATTATATCCATGTCATGGATCTTGCCTGGGGTCATGTCATCGCCTTGGACAAACTTTTCCAGAATAAATGGTCAGGATATAAAATCTTTAACCTTGGTAATGGTTGTGGTCTCTCAGTTTTAGAGGTAAATGTCCTCTTAATTACTTTCCCTTTAATTACTTTTCAAATACTTTCAGTTTCATTTTAATGATTCGTTTCAATTAATATTTTCGTCTTGTTTTCTTATGAAAAGGTTATCACAGCATTTGAAAAAATCACTGGAGTTAAAGTACCGTATGAAATTGTCGCTCGTAGACCTGGAGATGTTGATGCCATGTACGCTGATAATAGTAAAGCGATCGAATTACTTGGCTGGAAACCTAATTACACAATCGATGATATGTGTAAACACACTTGGAATTGGCAATCAAAGAATCCAAAAGGCTATCGAACTGATAATTCCTAAGCTGACCAATCAATTTTTAACCAACAACAAAAAAACCAGAGCATCTAAAACATTTAATTCGAGGCCTTAATTTCATTATTTTGATCTTTGCCTTTTAATCCAGTGCAATAATATACTTCAAATAGTTAACACAATTCAAGGTTTCCGGGTTTTGATTATCTTTTTCGTACAAACAAACAAACAAACAAACAATCAAATAAATAAATTATTCCAATTAATTTAATGATCAAAACTAATTACTGTAAAATATTCTTGGATGCATTAAACAGTCGAGGCACCAGAAAGATTCAATTTCAATTGGTTAGAAAGATTCAGCAATCAAACGAAACAATTTAATCACATAATTAATCGTCAATTAAAAGGATATTCAATCAAAAATCTGTGAAAATTTAACAATTAGAATTAGAGTCTAGCCAATATTCAATCTCATTGGAAAATAAATCTCAGAATTTATGTAGACATCTCATCCGTAAATTCATCACAATCAGCTAATGAATCAGTTAATTGATTGAATCAAATTAAAAAAAACTTTGCAGTGAGAATAGACTATTGGCTATTTTCACGAAAATTCCAAGTGAAAATAGACTCTATTATTCAGCAAGAAAACATTTTGAAATTAATTTTCTGTTGTTGAGACAAATTTAGTAATTTGATTAAATTTTGATAATCTCGTGAATTTCAATTAAACAATTTGTAATTTGTTCTTCATTTTGTCAACTAGTTGTCAATCTTTTCACGTCAAACCTTAAACAATGGAAGCTGTTATTGGTGTTAGTTTTAATGACTTTGCTCTAATCGCTGCTGATACTCATGCAGCCTTCAGTATTATGTTTGTTAAAAATGATTGTGACAAGATTTACACTCTATGTGACAATTTAATGATGGGGGTTGTTGGTGAGAATGGTGACACCACCCAATTTGCTGAATTTATTGGTAAAAATATTCAACTATTCAAGATACGAAATGGATTTGAATTGTCACCCAAATGTGCTGCTCTATTTATCCAGAGAAACCTTGCTGATTATCTAAGAAGTCGCACTCCTTACCATTGTAATCTTATTCTTGCTGGATTTGATAAAGAGAAAGGACCTCAGCTTTTCTATATTGATTATCTGGCCACTCTCTCTGAATTGCCTTATGCATCTCATGGTTATCCTCAGATGTTCACCCTTGGTATCCTGGATAAAAATTATCGACCCGATATGACCGAGGAAGAAGGTGTTCAATTATTAACTTACTGTATCAATGAAATTAGTAAACGGTTTGTTGGATCATTGAAAAACTATTGTGTCAAGCGATTGGATGCCAATGGAATTAAAAGATTACCTGATATAAACGTTAACAAACCTAAGAACGTCTAAATAATACAATTGTCAACACCTTTCGTATCAAGAAATTTGATAAAGTTCCTTTTGTTTGGATTTAATTTTCATTCTATTTTAAATTTCATTAACCATTATGATGATCTTACAATTTAATCGTCTTGCTTATGAAAAGACTTGATCCATTTACCGAGAATCATCATGATCAATTAATCAATTTGAATGAGTTGACTAATGAAAACATTCAAATAATAGTTTTAATGATAATTTAATTTTTTTTTGTTAGAATAGTTGTCAATGTGCTCAATTGAATTGTAAAAAAAAAAATGACAGTGAGATTTTGATCGTGATTATAAGTTGTCGGTTAGGTAATTTTTGAGATTCAAATTGTCGATGGGTGAGAGTTGATTAACAAATTATATAAATTGATCATGAATATAAAACAAGAAATGTTGGTTCTTGAAACACTTTAAGGTAATAATATTGAGAAATTATGACCCACCAAAGATAAAAGTGATAAACACCATAGACCCAAAGAGCACAGAGAGAAAATAGTGCATAAGACTGTAGAGAGAGATGAGAAACAATTAGTCGGTGGTAAGAAAATCAATTTAAAACAATTAACTTACGAAATATCTGTAACGATAGATGAGAAATGCACCAATGAAAAAAGCTGCGAGCAATTCAATGGCTGTACAGATGATCCAGAATAAGTAGAGAAAACGGATTTCCTGTAGGTGAGAGAAGATTTTGTAAGAAATTAATCAAATTATCGATGGAAATTAGATTGATTAGATTTACCTTTTTGATTCCAAGGTACAAAAGGAATGCAAATATGATGAAACAGAAACAATAAATGATTCCAAAAGTAGCAAACGTTTTGATTGATTTATCCATTTGAAAGAAAGGCGAAGCGACATCATCCGATCTTCCTCCTCTCAATAGTTCGGTACAATAAAAAATGGCCACAAAGTGAATAAAGGCAGTGTAACCAGCGATCAATTTAGATCCACATTCAAGGCTAATACAATTAGATTTCTTAATTGTAAAACAAGGAGCAAAACACCTTCTAACTAGAAACATGTTGATTGGCTTTTACACTTTGATTTCCTTTTGGATTTTGAATCTTTTTTTCCTTGTTTTCCAGGTAAAATGTTCCCACCAACAAACAGTTAAATTAATTCCTCAGGTCACAATAAGAATATAGAAATTAAAACAAAAAACTCTAATCCAATTAGAGAAAAACAATCCAATCAAATCAAGAAAAAGACTCAGATTAAATGGGTTGACAGGTAAATAGAATAGAATTGGAAAAATAGGAAAATTTGAAAGGCCGAAATAACTTCAATTAGATGAGATTTGATTCCAAAATTAAGATGAGATTAACTTGACATGATGTGTGACATATTCACCTGAAATAATTGAATGATAAAAAAAATTAATTACAATTGGAACAATCAAATTAAAGAAAACAAGAAAATTTGAGAATCAATTTTCTCAAACCATTGACAAGTTTACCTTTTTTAAGGTGGGTCCAGGTAATGGCAGCGGGAGAAGCTTCATCTTGGTTACCAAAGAGATTTTTGTTGTAAATTAATATTCTCACATTAGAATTGATCTAAATTGGAGACAATTAAAATTGGAACATGTTGTTCACTGTAAATCTACAATCTACATTTGAGCGACAATTAAATGTCATTCAATTGATTTCTTGCTCTTTTCCAATCAAAATAAAATTGGATTTTCATTTGTTCATGAAAAGAAACTCATTTTTAGGTGATGACTTTTAATTTGGAAAATTTGATTCGCAATTAGGTTGAACTGATTAGATTTTCTTTCGATTTGGTCAATAGACTTAATTGGTGGAACTGTTAATTGTCCGAATATTCAATTAAATCTTTTGATTCGTTTGATTAAATTTCTTTTTTTGTAGATTTTGAGACGAACCCTAAAGAGGAGTTTTGTTTTGTTTTTTTTTTCATTGACAATTTTAATCTATGTGATTATCTAATTAATTGTAATTTAATTTTCTTCTTTTGTTTTTATTTAATCTCTTGATTGGTTTCTCCATTGATACCATCAAGTTGTTCTTCCATTAATTTAGCCATGAGTGATTTATTCGAGTTAATTCAAAATGATATTCCTGAAGGGAGACAAAACCTTCAAGATAGTCATTCCAATCTTGAATTAGTTGCCAAATATTGTGAGGATAATTATTTCAGAGTAAGTTGGCTGATTTATTGATACTAAATTTGCTTTTCTATGATAATTAATGTATTTGTTGAGCGATTAGGGAATTGAATATGTATCAATGTTTCATTACATTGTTTCTTTTTGATCAAAATTATGACTGAATGGCCGGTTTTTCAATTGCTTTTTTCTCTCTGTCATTTTTGTGTTCATATCTGTTAACAGGCGGAGGATAAAAAAGCTGCCCTTGAAGAGACTAAAAATTATACCACTCAGTCTTTGGCCAGTGTGGCATATCAAATAAATACTTTGGCTTATAATCTAATCCACATGTTGGACCTACAAGGATCACAATTAGCTGAAATGGAGTCACAAATAAACCATATCAATCAAACAGTCAACATACACAAAGAGAAAGTAGCTCGTCGGGAGATTGGAGTTTTAACTGCAAATAAATCAACATACCGTCAACATAAGATATTGGTTCCAGCAAATCCAGAGAGACCCGTGAAATATACTAGAAAACCGATAGATTATTCAATTTTAGATGACATTGGTCATGGTGTAAAAATTGCCACAACAAATGCTCCTCGGACTAAACGTTTATCGGGTTCCAATCAGATTAATGGATCAAATTCAATGACCATGGGTAGAGCTGGAACTGCTCCCACTACTAAGCCACCAACTCCACCAGGTACTTTAAGAGGAAGTGGTAGTTTATCCAGATCATCTAAAGAGTATCGAACCCCTGCTCCTCCTGTTGCCCCACCACAAGTTCCAAGTAATTATGCTCCAAATTATCCAATTGGCCATCCAAAAGGTCCTGATAGTGCTCGACGAGGTAGCGGATATTCAACTCTTCCAGTTAACATGGCTCATTCAGGGGGACAAATTTCTGCAGCTATGCAAGCAATGCAAATTCAAGATCAGTATCAACAACAATTACAATCAGCCCAACAGGCTCATCATCAACTCATGCAACAAAATTCTGGCGACCCAACTTACCAGCAAACACCCACATATAGTCAAGGCTTACAAAATAATTCACAACAGGTAAATGAATTTTTAATCATTCATTTCAATCTGAAATCAATTCAATCATACAGATTAAGTTATACTCTTTTAGCTTGGCTGACTTGAAGTTTTCAAATTTTCCATTATCAACTAGACTTATCATCTAGATCTAGTTGATCATCCAAATCATTATATTAGTTTATCAAGTTTGGCCGAGTAAAAGACTGTACTTGATTCGATGTCTTAATCGCACTTAGATTATTACAGTTTCATTTAACTTTATCTCATTTTATCCCTTCAGGATCTGATGCATAGGAGAATCTATCAAGAAAGACCCATGGTAATAATTTAATTTTGTCTAAATTCAAGATCCAATTGATAATTAACAATCTTTTCTTTATTCTTACAGAATATTGTGCCACCTTCACCCACTCCACCTCTTCCACCTCCACCTCCAGTTAACCAGGATATTGGCTCTAATCGTGATTCTTTACCAGAACCTCCTCCTCTCCTCCAACAAGCTTCAATTCCTGGAAATGGTAAGAATATTTCATAACTTTTCTGATTGTGGCTTGAATTTTATGTAAAAATCGAATCAGTTTTCTCAATATTTTCGCAATTTAAATTCAACGAGCTCTTCCAACAATTCTAACCGGATAGTCGATTCAATGAAAGTCTCTATTTTCTACTGATTAAGTCGATCAACGAGTCAGAGATTTTCGATCTTTTGATTTTTCCAATCTATTTATTCACGATATCTCTTTGAATTTTTCAGTCTCTCCTCCTCTTCCCCCTCCACCGCCAATCGATGAAACGATGTATAATCATGGAGCCGGTGTGCCAACTGATTGGGTTCCTAAAAATTATCTTGAAAAAGGTAACGATTTGAGTTCCCAGAAAAAAAAGACTTGATTCAATTTCTTACTAATTTTTATTTTCATTTTCTCTCCTTTTTCAGTCATTGCGGTCTACGATTATATCGCTCAGGCAGATGATGAACTTTCGTTCTCGGAGAATTCAGTCATTTATGTTATTAAGAAAAACGAAGACGGTTGGTACGAAGGTGTAATGGATGGTATTACTGGTCTATTTCCAGGAAATTATGTTGAACCCTGTTTATAGTTATTATCATGAACATTTTCACTGCTCATCAAATGAATAATTAGATAGCTGCTGACTGTTAGTTACATTATAAAACTATTCATTTTATCATCATTTCCTTTGACTCACTAATGAATTTCCAGTTATCTGATTTGTTTTTCCCCCTGCTAATTGGTTGATCCAACGTTAACTTTAACCAGCTCAAAATTTACGTTTACAATCAACACCCCAAACCCAAAAATCAATTACAATATTGAAATTTATACTGTTTTTATTTTTCGATTCACAATCTTAAATAATATATTCATACAAATCCAACCTCCTTTAATCATATTCATTTAAATCCTAATAACTAATCTCTAATTTAGAGCTTAATCATCTATGTTAATCCATTTATTGTAAAGTTGTGGATGAGAAATTAACCGATTTGCCAGAAAATCAGAAAGAAAATAAAACATTTCTGATTATATTATTGTCTCTTAAACGAAAGATATTTTTTCATCTATTCCATTCATTTAATCTATATTATATATAAGTTTTACTATGAATTACAATTTTTAAATTTACAGTCAGCAAAATAAAAATGGAAGAAAAAAAACAACTAAGAGAATACAGAGAATCGTTTGAATCTATTTTCTTTGTTGGTTAATGATAATTCAACGTCTTTAAGTGAAGGTAAAGATTTAAGGTTCCCTAATGCTGCTAATGAGACTTTACTTTTTAACATTCGCTCAGCAACTCTGATGATATCGTCTTCGGTTACTTTGTTAATTGCTTCGATGAAATATTGAGGTGGTCTTCTGAATCCATTGGCTAATACTTGACGAGCGATATCTTCAAATACTACGGGACGAGCTTCCAAATTCATGAGTAACATTGATTGTAATTGTGTCTTGGCTCTTTTCAATTCTGTTGGTGAAATTTTGGCTGTCATTCCAACGGCTTCACTGACAATTACATTAACCAATTCTTGAAGTTGTGAAGGATGTGCACTGGCATGGATACAGAAAACACCCGAATCAGTGTAGGCATGATTATAAGCGGTCGCATTGAACATCCAATGGTGACGATTCAAGACATTGGTGTATAATCGTGTGTACATCCCTTTACCTGGTCCACCGGCTGAGAAAGATCCACCGCCGCCCATCATCATGTTAAGAACACAAATTGGAATGAAATCTTCCATCATCTGGTGAGAACTACTTTCAAATCCCAAGATAATATGAGCTAATTCTGGTAGATCGGCAAATCCTTGATTAACTGTTGATAAGTCTCGGTCTAAAGTAGCAAGACCACCAGTATATTGAGCCAGTGATTTGTCAGGAACAATGTTTCCTCCCAATTTACCGATTGTTTCATCTTTCTCCCAAATCGGTTTGACATCAACAAAATATTTGTTAGCAAGATCGACAAATCTATCATGATCAACCCCCACACCAGCTAAAACAATCCGATCAGGAGTGTGATAAGTTTTGATGTAAGACATTAGTACATCTCGATTAATCTTGCTGATATTTTCCTGTGGACAAAGTCTCGGTAATCCCAAAGTATTGGCACTAAAAGCTGCTTTATGAATCAACTCTAATAAGGTTTGTTCTTGGTCTGGTCTCATGGTGTGATCTAGTAATTCAAATTGAATCGTTTGTCTTGCAGATTCTAATTCATGGTCTAATATATTGGGTGAATAAACAGCTTCTGATATTATCTTAATTGCAGCATCAAGTCCTCTAGAATCAATAGAAGCAGCATAAATTAAAGTATCTCTGGAACCTTGGCAATCACAAATTCCTCCATGTTTCTCTAGATCACTCCAAATATCTTCCCGAGATTTATAGCTTTCAGTTGACTGGAAAGATAATTTCTCTAGAAAGTGTGAAATACCCGAAGTAAAATTAACCTCATATCTAGAACCAGAATTAATTATCACACCAACTGTACAAAATTGTCCAAATCTCGGTTGAGAGGCAACTCTTAAACCATTTTCCAATGTTGTCACTTTAGTCTCATTACCTTCATCTCGAGCCAAAGGATAAACAATCCTAGGAAAATCTAAGATGAATATTGAAGTTGAAAAAGAATAAAAGGCAAAACATATTAGAGAAAACAACCAAACAATTAGCACATAGAAAAACAAAACAATTAACTAACCAGGTATTGGTTTTGAGAGTTTAAGACTAGTCAATGGATTCCCATTGGAATCAACTGAGGATGAAGAAGTTGAACTTTTAAACCGACATGATTGCCTAATGAAAGAAGATCGAGTTAAATGGTTGACCAGAGAGTAACCTCGTTGAATTAGATTAAGTGTCATTTGGTTAATAGAAAAGAAAACAATCAGGTTAATTGTCAAAAGGAATTTAAAACAAACAAACAGAGAGAGTGAAAGTCACGCTGGATTATTTTCTATACTCTTTAAAAATGTTAGACTTTTGCTCTTTCTTTTGGCTGACAAATTGCGCGCTTCTAATCGTAACCATGGCAACGCGCATTCTGATTGGATGATTTGGATTCGCATTTGGAAAGAAACATTTGTTTTCATTTTCGGTTAAATTTGTTAATTATTTTTTTGTTTGAATCGATTTTAATTAAGTTTTTTGTCACTCTTTTTGTATTAATTATTACTGGTAAAATTATTTTCTTTGTGTGAATTTACAACTGGTTTATGATTTGTTTTGTTCTTACCTGTGATTGTTGTTCACTTTTCGATGATAATGATCTCATCTCTTGATCAAGCCTGGAATTTGCTGACCAAAGCTCCTTCTTCATTTGGTAAATCTGAAGTTTCTGGAACTGTTATCGAAGAGGCCATTCATATTATATCGATTAATAACTTGAAGAATATTTATAAAGAATGGTATCTATCTTCGTTACGTGATCATTTAATTAGTAATATTGGTCCTATGTTTTGGTCTTATTTTAAGAAATCAGGTGAAGAGGAAAATGATCCTGCTATTTGTCAAGTTTTTGATGCTTTTTCTTACCTTCACAATTCGTGTAAATTTTGGATGGATAATCAATTGATTAAGGAATTATTTATCAATCAAGTTGAAGAATTGGCAATTTATCAGCAAAAGATGAGATATCTGATCAAATCTTTATTATTTTTCAAGATTGAACAATCCTTTAATTCACGTATTTTAACATGTTACAAGTATGGATTTTCTGTTTCCAGGTCATTAAATCCTCTTTCATTGAATGAAAATTGTGATAAAGATGAGGATAGAGAAATGGACACAAGCTCTAATCTAGATGGTGAATGTAATATTTGTAAAGGAGCAGTTATGTCTAATCACCCAGAAGTTGCTGGAAATGAAAACTTATGTAACTGTCAGCTGATAATGAACAAATTTATCAAATTAACCCACGATCTTCGGGATCTAGACCTGTTGGATGAGATCAGTGGTGATGCAGTTGCTTCGGTTATTCATAATCACATTGAAACCTACGTTGTTGAAAAGTGTAAAAAAAGCTTTGACGAATCTTATCTCAAAAAATTACAAATTTGGATAAACAATGTGATATTTAAATGGCGTCAATTGGTTTTCGGCGATGATCAAGCTTTAATAATCAAGGCCTCCGATGAAAGACTTTTACACTTTATGCATGAAATTTATGCTCAAATGAGAACAAGTCAAATGTTTGATATGATCATAGAATATCCTGATTCTGAACCTGCTCTCGAAGACTTGAAAGAGTGTCTAGAGAAATGTCATGGAACCGAACAAAAGTAATTAACTCAATAAGAGATTCGTTTGATGCTCGACTTCTTCATCCTGGTGTCACAACGAATGACATATTAACTGCGTATATTCAAACAATCAAGGCACTTAAAATACTCGACCCCAGTGGTGTTATTCTTGAAATTGTTTGTGATCCAATTAAAAAGTATTTAAAAAGTCGCGAAGATACAGTTCGTTGTATTATTACCGCTTTAACCGATGAAAGTTCCGAACTTGTCCCAGAACTTGCTAAAGATGTTTCTCAAAATATTGATGATGTTTCCACTATGACAGACGATGAATTGATTGGTAAAAATTGGAAATCATGGAAACCAGATCCAGTTGATGCTGGAAATCTTGGTCGATCTAAATCAGTTCGTCAATTTGATATCGTCAGTATCTTGGTTAATGTTTACGAAAGTAAAGATCTTTTCGTTGAAGAATATCAAAGATTATTAGCTCAACGATTTTTACACAACTTTGAATGTAATGTAGAACATGAAAGGCGAAATTTAGAACTTTTGACACTTCGCTTTGGTGAATCTGATCTTCATTCTTGTGAAGTAATGTTACAAGATATTTCATCTTCTAAAAGAATTGACAATCGAATCAACGCCGGTGAAATTGAAGCTCATCACTGGACCCAATTTCCAATTAAATGTCTCATTTTATCGGCACAATTTTGGCCTGATAAACTTGGACTAAATGTAAACGAGGAAGCCAATAAATTGAAACTTCCACCACCAGTGATAGAATCAATTAAAACTTATACTCAGGCTTTCGAAACAATCAAGGGAAGTCGTACATTAAATTGGATTTCACCTCTTGGATCAGTTGATCTTGAATTAGATTTTGGAACAGCCGATAAGAAACAATCATTCACCGTAACACCAATTCATGCGGCAATTATTTGGCAGTTTCAGGAAAAAGAATCTTGGAATTTATCTGAATTAAGTCAAAGTCTTTCTGTTTCAACTGCTCTTCTTAGGAGGAAGATCAGTTTCTGGCAAAACAAGGGAATAATCAAAGAGATTTCCAGTGATCGTTTCATTCTAGTTACTAATCAAACTCAAGGCTCAAGTTCCTCTCAAGCGGAATTAGTTGTTAATCCAACTGATGATGAAGAAGATTATGAAGATGAATCATTACAAGAAATAAATCAAGCCGCATCTTCAAATAATCAAGATGTCGGTGAAAATAAACTTAAAGTTTATTGGTCATTCATTGAAAATATGTTGACCAATTTAAACTCTCTACCATTGGAAAGAATCAGATCAATGTTAAATATGTTTGCCTTGCAAGGATCAAATGAGCAACAATTAACAATCCAACAGCTTCGTAATTTTCTTGAAACCAAAGTTCGAGAGCATAAACTGGTCTTTGTTAATGGTCAATATAAATTAGCCTGAAAACCAAAATTCCTGATAATGTTGATTATCAATTAATTGTAAAAAGAAATAACCAAATGTCTTGAATATTTTGATTCTTATCGATTGTGATATATTTATATACTTTTAAGTATCTAATAATTAAATGTACAAATTGAAGCTCTTTTTTTTCATAAATCAAATCAATTTAATTTGCTTTTTTTTCAATCGATTTCATTGTCAAAATTAAATCAGAAATTAAGGTTTGCCAAAAAAATGTACGAAAATCCAATTAAATGGCAAAAGAGAACCTTTGATCATTCGAGATGATTAAACTGTAATAACAAACAATCATTTCTTTGATAATCACAATCTAATCAACAATTCGCAGAAAAGCAAATGATCACAATTAGATTAGATTTAATTCTTGGGTATTCCAGTTACAATGTTTTCCTCGATTCCACATTCATTGTTCCCTCGGTGGATTTTGAAATAACCTAAAAGTGGAAACGAGTGCGAACAAATTAGTTAAACAATTGGAAATAAATGAGAACAATTAATCACCTTGATCACCCCAATCAGTGTTCCAGGAATTAGCTACAAGCCAATAAGGGACACCCTGTTCAACGCCCCAACCCAATATTTTAACTGCATGAGCTCCGAGTAAATCATTTGAATGTTTCTGGTAAACACCTAAAGACAATTAAGACAATTAAGTTGAATGGTCGATGGCATTGGTTGATTAGGTTAATTACCTGATTTATATGATACAAAATCGGCGTAGACATTAAAAGCACCAGTGACTGGACCATTTCTCATGATGTCCGATTGAATTTGTTTAACATCTCGTTCAATTGAGTAACTTTTTAATCCGAAGTGTTTATCTTGTTTATATGATTTAGGATAATCTTTTTGACATTTATGTTCACAAGTGGGTGTTGGTTCATCGGTGCAATTGGGTCGAGGTCCAGGTACATGGTGTTCACATGGAGCTATTTTATAAGGTTGACATCCAGTTCCGTTGTAAAGTCCACCGGTTACAATACCAGAATTGACCCAATACTGATAGGCCGCTTCAGGGTAGCCGCCGTTACAACCATCGCCACAATCAGTGCAACAGGTTAATAAATCTTCCGATGAAAGTTGAACTTTAGTTCGACCATTAGTACCGATACAAGTTCGATCGGACATTGCTTCGACTGATGAGAAAGCCCAACATGAACCGCAACTTCCCTGATCGCGGATAAATGATATCGATGGACAGTTAGGCCAAACTCGACGAGAATCAAATGTATTGGGAATGTTTGATTCGATTTCAATTGTCTCCAAATCAACGATTGAATTACTTGATTGTAACAATCTTTTCACTCCAAGAAATCGTTTAATTTGGTTGATTGTTAATCCTTCAAAATTTTTACCAGCCTTCAATGAAGAGATCAAATCAACAATTAAGTTTAATTTAGTTCAAAGCTCTGTCAAAATCCTTACCTTCCATGTTGTGTTGAGTGAGTTAATTTTGTTGACCATTAAATCAGACAAAGGGCTAATTGTTGATGATAAGATGACCTTTTCTGAACAATTAACACTGACAATTAAACAAATTAGTAAAATAATTGATCTCATATTGATTGTTATAGTTAAATTACTTGATTAATTAACTTTGATTCACTTAAAGTTGTCAATTCACATGAATGTTGATTATGAAAACTATCAATTAATATTTTAATTACTTCTCTTTAAATCAACTAATCACTTGAATCGTGATTATAATCAACGGCAATTAACTAGTTAAATAACCTTATCCATAATCTTGATGGGTAAACATTTAGTTCAAGTATGAAAAATGATAATTTGATCAACAATTAATCAATAGCTTAGCCATCAAAAAGTTAATTTTGTCTTCTCTCTATGACAACAATTAACGATTAACAAAATTAAACGTGAGTCTCTTATTAACTTGAAGATATTTTTAATCAACTAAATCAATCTACTTAAGTGGTTGATACATTTAAAAGTCACATAAATTGTGAGATTAACGAGAGAAATCAAGTGTTAATTGTTAGTCAAGCGACTGATTAAAATGGTCGTTTGAATGGGTAATAAGGATGCTCGCTGTAAGTGAGCACGGGAACCGCTCGCCAGTTTTTGTTGAATTGATTAATTGATTCAATTTCTTCGGGTGTTAATTTAAAATCGTAGATGTTGATGTTTTCATCGATTCGTGAAGGTGTCACACTTTTGGGGATCACGAAGAGACCTCGTTGATTAGCGTAGCGAAGGAGGATTTGGGCTGATGTTTTGTTGTATTTAGCGGCCAATGATTTGATTGCTGGATCCTCGAGGAGTGAAGGGTCTTCAGGCTTAGCCCAGGGTCGATCGGGTGATCCAAGTGGACTGTAGGCCGTTATGCCGATTTGTCGTTCACGGCAAAAGTCAATCAACGGTTGTTGAGTTAGGTAAGGATGAACTTCAATTTGATTCATAACTGGTTTAATTTCACAATTATCGAGAACTCGTTGAATTTGTTCAGAGTTGAAATTGGAAACACCGATCGATTTGGATAGTCCCGCTTTCTGAACATCTTCCATACCTTTCCAGGTTTCGAGGTAATCGATGTTAGAGAAAATGATTTGCTCCTTGTCATCTCGAGGGAAGAGATTGTCACCCTCTTGGAAACCCATCGGCCAATGGATAAGGTAAAGGTCAAGATATTCGAGGCCAAGATTGGCCAACGATTTCTTGACACCTTCCATCACGGAAGCTCGAGAATGGAAAGTATTCCAAAGTTTAGAAGTAATGAAAACTTCTTCCCGTTTAAGGGCACCCGATTCGAACACTTCTTTCAGCGCTTGGCCAACTTCGTGTTCGTTTTGATAAACGAGAGCACAATCGATGTGTCGGTAACCAGCGTTCAAAAGCGCGTGTTTGACCGCTGCGGCCACTTCTCCAGGCTTCGATTTCCATGTGCCAAGTCCAAGGGTCGGAACTGTGACTCCGTTGTACAAACACCATTCGGTTGATTTCTTAGGAGCGGCCATACTTTCAATCGTTGATCACAATTAATATTAACAATTTGATGGTTTTTCTTCAAATGATCAACTCAATTAAACTGATTCACAATTTTAACTGTTAACCAATTGAAAACAGTACAGATGAACTCGCAACAACCAATCGGTTTTAACAATAACCTTGATTGTAATTAAATCGATTAATTTTTTGAGTTACTTTTTCTTGTTTTATTTTCCTAAACTAAATTAAACATTTGATTAACTAATCATTGGTTTCCATGGTTTCTAAATGATTATGTTGTGTTTAGTTAATCAACAGCTTTAATGTGTATTAATCATTTCATTTGATGATTGAATTTGTGTCAATCTAATTATGGTGATAATTGTTTAAGATCCACCTTGTTGATTGATTTATTTGATTGCAATTAAATCAATCGATTAGTAATTTATTTCTAACATTAACAATCATTGATTAACTTGGTATTAATTTAGATTGACATTGATACTCACATTTCCTTTTTAATTACAATCAATATTTTCCGATCATTTCAATTGTTATCATGATTAAGTTACACGTTTCTATTTGAATTTGATTGAAACAACAATTAATCAAATAAATTAATCAATTAAAATTTTTAAACTTACCTGTTGAAAAGGTTTGAACATTTAAAAGTTAATTGTTTCTCTTAAATTACTTTGAGTAAGTTGATTGAATTTTAATTGTTGTTTCATTTTCTGTCCTTGTAATTATAGTGAATCGAGTTAATTATGTAAACATAATTGAAAAAGGGCTTCGACCTTGAAATGTTGAAAATGATTACATTTTGAATGATTAAACGTCTATTAGTTAATTAATGTCAAGTGAGTTATTGGTTACAATTAATTGTCTAGACTATGATTAGCAGGGTTGAAATTAATCATTGGTAATCAAAAGTTTAACTGTTGTGCTTAATGTGACAATAATGATGAATATCGATGAATTTCAAGTTTCCCATTTTATTTGATTATAATGTGATAAGTTTTCCAAGATTAAATAACAATTAAAGATTTTCTTTACAGTTGTAATCATGGATTTAGTTGGTTTAACTTATTTAGAATGGGATTTTGAAAGGATAAAGTGGATGATCGGCAACATCTTCTAATCCACAAGCTCGCCAATTTTTGTTGAAACTGTAAATGGTTTTCATTTCGTCTTCAGAAAGCTCGAAATCAAAAACTTGAATATTTTCAGCTATTCGAGCGGGTGTAACACTTTTTGGGATAGTGATGAGGTTTCGTTGGACACCAAATCGAAGTAAAACTTGGGCTGGAGTTTTGTTATGGGCTTCGGCAATTTTCTTAATTGCTGGTTCTTCAAAAAGAGATGGATCTTCAGGCTTAGCCCAGGGTCGATCTGGTGATCCAAGTGGACTGTAAGCAGTAACAGTGATGTCATGTTTCTTACAGAATTCAACCAATTCAACCTGAGAAAGGTAAGGATGAACTTCAACTTGATTGTTAACTGGTTTAATTGTACAATTGGCAAGAATCTTTGCAATTTGCTCAGAATTGAAATTGGACACACCAATTGATTTAGCTAATCCAGCTTTGTGAACGTCTTCCATACCTTGCCAGGTTTCAACGATATCAATATCAGAGTAAATCATTTTACCGGCTTCATTTTTGGGGAATAGTTCATCACCTTCTTTATAACCCATTGGCCAATGGACTAAATAAAGGTCTAAATATTCTAGACCAAGACTAGTTAAAGTCTTTTTAGCAGCTTCCATAACTTTGGCACGGGAATGGAAAGTATTCCAACATTTTGATGTAATGAAAACATCTTCACGTTTAAGAGCTCCAGAGTCGAAAACTTCCTTTAAAGCTTGGCCAACTTCATCTTCGTTTTGGTAAACCAAAGCACAATCAATGTGCCGGTAACCAGCTTCCAAAAGTGCATGTTTAACAGCTTCTTTAACTTCACCAGGCTTGGATTTCCAGGTACCAAGACCGAAAAGAGGAACTTTCAAACCATTGTTGAAGGAGATGGAGGTAGAGATTGCAGGTTTAGCCATGATAGTCTTGAAAAGAAAAAGAAAAAGAAAACGATAAAAAATTACTAGATTAACATAAATTCAACGAATGAACCAAAAATCAAACCAACCCCGATAAAATGAGAAGAAAACAAAGAACAGAAAATAATAAAGTAATTAAAATGACAATAAAACAAAAATTGAATTAAAATCAATTAAAAAAAGGGTGAAAAAGAAGAAAATCAAAAATTCGAAAAAGAGAAAAAGAGAAAACCATAAAATGATCGAAGAAAAACAACAGAAAGATAAAGAAAAAGAAAGAGAAATAGAAAGAACAAAGGAGCAACACAAAGAGAAGGAAACAAAGAGAATTACCTTTAATTCTAAAGATGAGATCTCGATTTAAATAAATTGACAAAGATCAATGAGTTAATTGAGAATCGAAATAACTGATGATAAGTCGAAGAGATGAAACCAAAAAGGCGAAGTGAACGGAACCAAATTGAAAGAATAAATGATTTTCGAATGGAAAACCGATCGACTTTTCTAGATTTTCTCCTGATAAGTAGCTCCACCTGACGACCATTACATAATATTCTTTGTCTGCTTTGGTCGATTGTCTTTACCCTTTTCTCTGATTAGTAAACATGTTTCAATTTTTGTTCCTCTTTGTTTAACTTTTACGAATTATCTTCATCATCATCATCATCATCAACATCATGGTAAGAATGTTAATCTGTGTAATTTATCAGGAGATTAACTCCTCCTTTAACCTTCATCCCTTTTCCATCCTCTTTACATCATCTCTATGAGATAAAAGGGAAAATCCCATTTTCAGTTTAACTTAAATTCTCTGTTTTTATTTATCTTTCTCTTACTATTTTTTCTATTCAGAATTATCTTGGAAATGGTTGATTTTGTTCAAGAAAAATGGCTGAATTTAAAATTCCATGGAAATCGCTAGAACAAAAAAAGCCTTTAAACCAGTTTTTCCCTCTTCCAATCTCTTTCTATGGTAACTGTTTATCATTTGGTTTTCCATTTCTTTTTTGTTCTATTCTATTTTGCTAATTCAATGGTGGCCTCGCTTTTGATTCTCTAAGCTCCCCAATGTTGATCGATGATTATTTCTCACGAGAAATTGACCTGTTTATGTAAGTATTTGGAAGGGTCAATTTTTGAATAATTTATAATCTCTCTTGATGTGTCTCTTTACAGTTAAATCCAATTTTGAAGGACATGGGAACTAAAATTTACTTTCGGATTCTGACTCATCATCATCTCTCCAAAGTGTATCATCATAGAAAGAGTAATATACCAAAGGATCAAATGCAAATTCTAGTTAATTGTTATGCTTAACATGTTCAGATTGTTACCTTTTCTCTTCTCTATTCTATCAGATGCATGTACTTCTTATTCAAGGTGTGAAAAGCGTTTATAATGATGAGACTAAATTCAAGGTACATTCAATCCTAATAAGTCATCAACTTATCACCGATACTCAAAGATATCAAACAATTTGACGGAAATACGTTGGCAACAGTTGATTTCATCCGGAAATCAATAATAATCTAATACATTTTACTCATAATGTAACAATTGTCATGAAAGACACTTGGCACAAAAGATGCACCAACAAAAGCCATTAGAATGACAACCAATTCAAAATGGTTTCATTAATTGAAGAAAATCATCACTTTCACAAACAAATTGGTCTTAACAATCAATAAATCCAAAGAATTAGCAAAAAAAGTTATTGATTATTCAATAATAACGTTTGTCACCAATCAACAGGTAAGATCTTGAAGCGAGGTTAAAATGATTATCCAAGAAAAACTTTGTGATAAATTATTCTAATCATAGTCAATTAATCATGAATTGTTTATTAATAATTTCAGATAAATAATTGTTCATTGGATATCAACAATCAAATCTCTGGAAAGGATCAACTAAAATTGTAATTACACACAACAATCAGTTGATTGTGATCAATACTGTTTTTGTATACACTCGATCAAGGATCATTACATTTTTTGTAAACAATTGATCACTTATTGATTTATTAATTGTCAGAACTTTGAGTTTATTAATCACAATTGATCATGTCTCTGTCATACTAACAATTTTGATCGTTGAATTGTAATTTTTCTTAAAAAATCAAATCTAATTGAAACTTAAACAATTGATGAAAGTTTACAAAATTCATCCAACTGTAAACAATTAACTGATTAGTTAATTTTAATCAAATAATGGGCTGTTAGTTTTCCTCATAATCTAATCAATTGAGCCACAAGACTATCCTTTAATTGTTTAGAAATGATTAACTATCATGATGGTTAAAGGGAAAATCAATTTTCATTTTCAAATCATTCATTTCTATGGTTAATCATTCATTCAGTTAATTTCAATTCCAATTGAAAATGAAACTTTTAATTGTATTAACTTTGTTTGTTGGTTTCTCAACAATTAATTCAATATCAACTGATGATGGTAAATATTTTCAATCAGTAATTGTTGGTGAATTTAATTATAAAATCAATCTAATTTACAGATTCACTCGATTCATCGGAAATAATTAAACTAATGATCCAAGTTGTATCTTCATTAGTTAATCATTGGGAGAAATTAATTCCTGGTAAGTTGACCAACAAGCTTTTGATTAATTTCTGGTTCAATTTGACTTAATTGTTAATTGTTGAATAGGTTGGGATGTAAACGCTGCACTTGATGTCAATGTAATTAAATTAGCTGACAATGCATTAGAAGCTGGTGATGTATTGGGTGAGTTAAATTTGATTTAATTGTTGAAACAATTAGTTAATTGTCTCTTTGTTAATTTAGGCTGGAATCCTGATGATGATATCGAGGACAATTTAGTCAACGTTGCTCAAGCTTATTTTAATTTACTTCCACTCAAAGGTAATTAGATTTAGTTAAACAATTATTCACGATTAGCTGACTAATTAAATTGTTACTAACAATTTCATCTTAATTGTTCATAGGAGTGAACATCAATGAATCAATTTCTGCTAATTTAGCTTATATGATTGAAGATATTGATGTTATCCCATTACCACGTAAGACTAACTGATTGGATAAATTGTTACCCGTTAATTGCTAAATCAACACTAACTAATTAATCTCATTTGTAGCATTTATTAGCAAAGAGCAATTTGAGGCCAAGATTACCGAGAAAATCCTTAATTCTTTGAGTTCAATTCCAGGTAATCACTTAATCCACTGATTAATTATCTTTATGATTCCATCTAATTTAAATTTTTCTCTTAATTATTCAGAAATTGATGTAAATCAAAGTGTTCACGATAATTTAATCAATTGGATCAGTTTGAGTCTCGAAAAAGTTCAAGGTAATTATCATGTCGATAAAACTAATTCTCAATCAACTTGAACATTTAATTTATTTCTCTTTCTTTCCAGTAATCGATCCATCGGCAACCGCTGAGAAACAAGTTAATTACTTGATTGATTTAGCATTCGACGAAATTAAATTAACTGGATTTAGTCCATCGAAAACTCTAGATACCAATATTGTTGATGTACTCCAGGCTCTCCTTTAAATCATAACATCTATGAATCAGTTGCAATTAAAGTATTATGACTGTTAACTAATGATAAATATTATCATCATAAATATTCAATATGATTAAGGGAAAAGTAATAAAAATAGTTACATGATTAAGATAATTATTTGATTAGCTCTCCCGGAATTGTTTAATTATCAAATTAGATTAAGTCTCTCAGGTAAATCCAGTATTCTGATGAGAACTGTTTATAAATCCAATAGATTTCAACGTTGTTTATAAGTTTCTTTGCTTAAGTGATTCAAACAATAAACAATTTGTTGACAATTTAGTTAATCATGTCTCGAATTTCACCTTTAATGTTGTTACCTGATGGAAATAAGATCCATACCTTGGATTAGGAACCTGGAGATCGGATAAAGGTAAAGTTAAAGAGGCCGTTAAATTTGCGCTTTTGGAGGCCAATTATCGGCATATTGATTGTGCTTTACTCTACAACAACGAGGAGGAAGTTGGTCAAGCATTGGCTGAAGTCTTCGAGACTGGTCGTCTTACTCGAGCCGATGTATTCATTACAACCAAATGTTGGAATACTTATCATTCAAGAGATAAAGTTACCGAATGCTGTAAGAAATCATTGGCTAATCTTGGCCTCGATTATGTTGATCTTTACCTAATCCATTGGCCGACAGGATTCAAAGAAGGAGATGATCCATTTCCTTTGGATTCGTCAGGTAAAGTCCTTTACTCTGACGTCGATTACCTCGAGACCTGGAAAGGTATGGAAGATGTTCAGAAAGCGGGACTATCCAAATCGATCGGTGTTTCCAATTTCAACTCTGAACAAATTCAACGAGTTCTCGATAATTGTGAAGTTAAACCAGTTATGAATCAAATTGAAGTTCATCCTTACCTCTCCCAACAACCATTGATTAACTTTTGTAAACAACGAGGTATCGACATAACAGCCTACAGTCCACTTGGATCACCCGATAGACCAGGAGCTAATCCAAGTGAATCCGGAATACTTGCCGATTCAACCATAATCAACATCGCTAAGGTTCACAATAAAACTCCAGCCCAAATCCTACTTCGATATGCCGTTCAAAGGGACATCATCGTGATACCCAAAAGTGTTACACCAAATCGAATAAAAGAAAATAGTAAAATTTTTGATTTCGATTTAACCAACGACGAGATGAGATTAATTGCTAATCTTAATCAAGATAAAAGGTATATAACCGCTGAAAGTTTAAAAGATCATCCATATTTCCCATTTGCGATTCCCTACTAATTAACTCAATCAACAAACCCATAATCTTAATCTAGAGTTTTGGCAAGATAATTGTTGTTTGTACCGAGAGTTGATGATTAAAAGTAACTGAACACAATTAAGATAATAATAAGTAATAATTTAAAATGGTACAATGATTGTCATAAAAGTCTTGATTGTAATGTTAATTGGTTTACACGAGTAAGATAATGAGGCTTTGGAAACAAAATATTATTATTATTAATAACAGCGACAACTTTTGGTTTAACTTGATTCAAGTTTTTACGTTTAAATTTGCTAATTGTTGGTGAATTGTTAGTCAATTGGTTGACTTGATTACCAGCGAATCTATTGTGATAAAGTTTATTCAGTCGATTTGTAAGATGATCAAGGAGACAATTAACCAACGAATAGATTGATAATCCAAACCAGAGTCCAATTAATCCACCGAAAGATGAGATAAAATTAGCAAAGGATATTACAGGTTTACGATCAATGATTATGTTGCCCAATTTGGACGAGTATAAGGCCACACCTAAACCTATTCCTGGATAACGGTACCGTTTATGTGGCCTTAGTATTTTCGATACATAATTATGACGTTTACAAGCTTGTCGTCCACAAATTGGTTTACATTGTTTGTATAATGAGAGAGATAAATTGTAATATTGAAATTCTTCACCGTAAGTATCTATCAATTTTTCATCATCGTGGAACTTTTTTACAAGATATTCTCGAGGATATGCTCCCACACTATCGACAAATTGTTCAATTAAACATCGATCATAACATCTAGATATAGCTTCATTACGACAATCGTCAATGTAAGGGGCAGGCAGGGAATTGATGACAGTTCCAGCAAAGGTAATTTCATATTCATCCAACCAACCAGGTCTTACGGCAAGGTAAATGAACGGATTCTCATCGACCCAGGGTATTCCGGTGGCTGAATGGATCAAAACACCTACTCGATCTACTAAAGGTAAGGTGGTCAAGTTGAAACGAAAATAGGCTAATTGATAATTGCCGAAACCTTCGAAAATTATTCGTGAAAAGTTAAAATGGTCATTGAAATGTCGAGTTAAACATAAATTTTTCGAGAAAATTTTTTTAGTCCATGATGCTGATGAACATAGTTTAATGGTCATATTTTTAGACTCACGGATTCCACATGGACGGATCAAGTCTGGAATCGATACAACTGAATTTATCAACTGTTTGGTTGAGAATCGCTCGTAGACAAATTCACTATTAGCGTAAAGGATTTCATGATAACTCCGAGAGCCTTTACTTACTCGAGAAATATTTTCAACTTTAGTTAATATTTCAGGCGCTTGATTGAAGATTTTGTTATATTCAGAACTGCAACTAATTTGAAACAAAAAGTTAAATGAGGTGTTCTAATTACCGAAAATGGAACGACAGTTTTTTCAATCTTAATCTTATGTCGCTTATATTGAACATAGAGCGAGAATATTTGATAAATGAAAATGATTCCAGAGAATCCGAGGAAAATCAGTTTAATGATATTTTGTGTCGAAAAGTTGATTTGGTCAATTAAAGATTTGTCATGAATCTAAAGTATTAGATGAATAGTAATAGAATTCGCGAATTATAAACATTGGATATTATTGAATAGTTAGTTGATATTAACTCACCTTTCGAGATTTTCTGGACCTTTGTTCAAAAAGATGAACTTTGGACTTACTGACCGACATCGTTCCAAGCGACTTTTATAGAACTTTATTGTTGTGGTCACTTAAAGAACAATAATAACAAGATTGACCATACAACTCTAGGAATTTAGTTACAGTTATTATTCTTGTTTGGACTGGTGAATTTTCTTGCAACTCAATCTGCAAGAATATCGATTGCAAATGACACTTTGAATCCTGTTGACAATTATTTCTCAGTTAGTTTATTGTTATCATCAAGTCAATTTATCATTTCAATGATACATGTCATACACGATGTAACATAATTTCATAAGAAAATGTTTCAATTGAACTGAGTTTCAAATCAATATTCAAATACAAAATGGGTTTGGAAATAAATGTATGAGAACAAGAAAATGATGCCATTTTTGTTTCCAAGAAATTGGTACTCTAGATGTTACGAAGAAATGTTCAAACTAAATTATCTGAATTAATCGAGAATTGGTGATGAGGATACGAAATTCAATTCGTTTTTTTTTGTCAGTAAAATTCGTTAGTTGAATCGATAAATATTGAATATCAAAAGCGACCTTCTTGGAATAAGCATTGAGTCTCGAACAATAACTAAGCCTGAACATTTCATTCGCTCTTCAATTCTCGACAATAAATATAATGTTGATTCTTTCAAAGTTAGTTGATATTAACTCACCTTTCGAGATTTTCTGGACCTTTGTTCAAAAAGATGAACTTTGGACTTACTGACCGACATCGTTCCAAGCGACTTTTATAGAACTTTATTGTTGTGGTCACTTAAAGAACAATAATAACAAGATTGACCATACAACTCTAGGAATTTAGTTACAGTTATTATTCTTGTTTGGACTGGTGAATTTTCTTGCAACTCAATCTGCAAGAATATCGATTGCAAATGACACTTTGAATCCTGTTGACAATTATTTCTCAGTTAGTTTATTGTTATCATCAAGTCAATTTATCATTTCAATGATACATGTCATACACGATGTAACATAATTTCATAAGAAAATGTTTCAATTGAACTGAGTTTCAAATCAATATTCAAATACAAAATGGGTTTGGAAATAAATGTATGAACAAGAAAAATGCCATTTTTGTTTCCAAGAAATTGGTACTCTAGATGTTACGAAGAAATGTTCAAACTAAATTATCTGAATTAATCGAGAATTGGTGATGAGGATACGAAATTCAATTCGTTTTTTTTTGTCAGTAAAATTCGTTAGTTGAATCGATAAATATTGAATATCAAAAGCGACCTTCTTGGAATAAGCATTGAGTCTCGAACAATAACTAAGCCTGAACATTTCATTCGCTCTTTCAATTCTCGACAAGGGGGGTAAACATAATGTTGATTCTTTCAAAATTTCCATATCGATCCACAAAAGAACAGTTTAAATTATTGATAACCATGAATAATATGATCAATTGCATTGGTCACTATGACTGATTACAAAATTATAATCAAGATTTTCCAACTGTTTGTATTAATATTTTCATCATCATTAATAAATATGAAATCTCAGTTTGATTTATTTTCATAAAATAAATTCTGAAAAAAAAGTTCACAATAGTTTCAACTAAGCCAACGATACTTTGAGCTGTTGTTTAATTAACTCAATCGTTGATACAGTCAATTGAATTTCCATCATTATGAGCAATTGGTTATTTCAAATAAAATTCTTGAGTAAATCAATATTTGAATGGATTTTAATTGTTAATATTGGTGTTTGTAGTTTAATCGTTGGATTATACAATCTTATTGGTTTCCTTTCATTATCCTTACCCTCATCACGAAATGAGATAATCTCTTATATCAAATCACTCTTTTCGATATTTTTCTCGATAGCACAAAGTTCATTAATATTCAGCTTGAAATGGCCAAGATTTTGGGATTATCTTGACCATCAGTATAAATTAACGGCCCATCAAGATTCAATTAGTTCAAATCAGACCCAGAGAAAGAGGAGAAACAACTTTTTGCTACAAATAACTGCAACACTGATCTTTCAAATCGGAATCATAATCACCCAGGGAATACTATTCAATCATATGCTAAGAGTTAATATCTATTTGTTTATCCATTTTGGTCAATTTTGTCTGACAGCGATTCTGGTTGACACTTCGGTCAATCTGGCAGGCTTATTCAAGAGCATTAGTTTATCATTAAAATCAATTGGCTCATCAGAACTTCAACTCGAAAAACTTCGGCAACTTCGACAACTTTACCTGTTAACTGTTCGAGCTACTGAATCGGCTGAAACTTTCTTTCAATTCCTGGTCACTTTACATTATGTTTCCAACTTTGTTGACTTGATTTTTTTAGCTCTCAACTTTAAATCATCTTCTAATCAATTTCTGATTCTTTGGATACAATTGGTCACATTCGGTGTGACTCGTTTAATTTACTTGACATTAAACATGTCCAGTGTTCATGTCAATTCAAAAAGGGCTTTTGAACATTTGTATCAACTTTCATTGAACACAAATCGTATTTCAGCTCTTGAAGAAGTTAGTTTTCTACTCTAATCAGGATTAACTTTGATTATTAATAGAATAATTTTATCTCCTTTTTTTAGATCCATAAATTCATGATGAGAATTTCATCTACTAACATTGGATTCACTTTCGCTGATCTACTTTTAATCTCTCCTAATTTCATCACATCTCTACTTTCATTCTCGTTTACCATTGGAATTGCTCTAATTGACAAAGTTAATTGAGCCCAATCGAAACAATAAATTCGTAAAGTGCTTAGTGATCGACATCGTTTCGATCATTAAGAATTGAACAATCAGATTAATCAGATAAGTTTGACTTACAATTTTAATCAATCAATTGGTTATATTGTAATTAAAATAAGTAATTTATTGGAAACAAATTAATAAAATTAAGACGGTTTTACATGAGAAAATGCTGTAAAATCAAAATAAAATAAAAGTTAATTTTCTTGACCAATTAAACATCAATTTGTCTCTAAAAACATTGAAAAGTTTCATTTATCTTCCATATTTTAATTGTAATTAGTTTTTCTGTTTTAATATGATTAATCAATCAATAGAAGGCTCCAATTTCCTTGGCGATTTCCCGATGAACCAATTTATTAACATTATTGGTGCTTCGTTCCGATGAAGTTGAAGACGAAGATGAACCTTTGGTGACACCCGAATAAAGGCCACAATTAGCGTGACCTTTGGCGATAAAGTTTTTCTTGAAAACATTTGGAAGTGGAAATGATTTGGATGAATCAATCGATTCCTTAATTTTTTCCCTTTCATTTGATTTAATTTTATGCGATGAGGTTGATGAAGATGAATTTGTTTTAATTACACTAATGGACTGACCATTAGATTGACCATTACCATTGGATGTACCATTTGAATTACCACCGCCAGAGAAAAAGTAAGATTGAAGTGATGAGGCCAAATTTTTACTCTTACCTGAGGTCGATACTTGTGAACCTGAACGTTTACCATTACCTACTGGATCAACGGTACTGACCGATGAACCATAACCTGGAGTACGTCCAATAGGATCAAGTGACCTTCCTTGACCATTACTATTATTGGCAGAATGAGCTTCACTTAATGAGGTCATGCTTGACCCTCGACTTCTCATCAGAAACTGTGTCCAACTTTCAGATGATCTCATGTCATTTTTATCGTTCATTGAATGATCACCGATATTTGATTCATTTAGATAACCAGTTGATTGAGATCTTTTACGATTTGATTGTTTACAATTAATTGATTGATTGTTATGATTATGATTCAATTCAGGGTGATGATCATCAGAGGTAAGATAAATTGTTCCATGTGAATCCAATTTACTATTAACTTTAGGATATTGCCAATCAAGTGTAAATTCAGTGTCTTCACAATCAGCGCCAACAATTGAAGCTGAACAGATCGATTCATGATTAATTGATTGATCAGTAATATCATTTGATAATATAACATTGGTTGAATTGATTGTTGGTACAGTTGATGATGAAATTTTCGTTGATTTAATCGCTGTTGAGGGTTTAGATGGTGATGATGATTTAATTAAACCTTTACTTTGATCATTTTTCTTGGGATAAACATCAACTACAGTTGGTTTACTTTCCTCACCTGAGTAATTATCCTCATCATCTTCATCTTCATCATCATTATTATTATCAACTCTTTGTCGAAGTCTCCACCTCGATTCATCACCACCAACACCATTTCCACCACCATTGGGATTATTTCCTGATTTTTTCACCTTATTGGAAGACATTGATTGATGGTGATTAGTGTTAAATTGATTTTGATGATGGGAATTGTGGTGGGTGTGCTGATTGTTGTGATGACGATGATGATGATGATTGGAAAGGCTTAGATTATCACGTCTCAAATGTTCTGATCCAGTGTAGCCTTTAAAATTGGCCGGAGGGCGAATCGAAGGTATATAAATGAAGATATCTTCATTTCGGACATTTTGATCATCAATACAATCATCATTCATCATGATACTTCCGGTGGTTGTTGTAGGTGTAGATGATGAAGTCTCTTTCATCATATTACCATCTTGGTTGTTGTTGTTGTTGTTATTATTATTATTGGAGTGGGTTGAGTTAATCGGTTTGGTCTTCTCATCATTTCCAGTAGATGACCGACCCCCACTGGTCATCTCACCGCCTCCCTCTGAATCTGACCATCGACCTGAATCAGCTGCACCACTGCTAATAGGATCACTACTGTCACTTCCTGGTCGTCCAGTTGATTTACTTCGTCGTCTACACGTAATTTTAATTCCAGATTCACTAAGTCGAGCTCTTAACAGCATCACTTCCGCTTCCAGGTCTTCCGCTTTCTCTTTCATCTGTTAAATCGTAAGAAATCAAATTGCCAAACAATTAGTTAAACGATTCACTTATTAATTTGTCTCTTCCTCTTTTGGCACGTTCATTTAAATCACCTTGATGGTAGTTAGTTAATTAACTAATCATAATTAGCTAAACATAAATCACGATCTTCATCTCACCTTACCATTTTTAAATCACTTTCTTGTATCCTTTTAATTTATGTAAACAATATTAAGTATTAAAGTTAATCATAACTTGTTGAATTATTATTAAATTGCTGATGCTATTAGTTAACAATCAACATGAATTATGAGTGAAATTAATAAGTTAATTAGTGAATATATTTAAATCAACTTACCTCTCTTTCAATATGCATCAGATTGATTTTATCCTCTTCCAATTTCTGTTAATTATAAAAGATTCAAATTTTTAACTTTAATTGTTAACAATTAGAAAGATGATTAATACTTACGGTTAAAGCTCGTTGAAGTAAATCAATTTCATCTCTTAATTTATTTGATTCTCGGGTTAACATTTTATTTGATTTAATTAATTCACCAACGTTAATATATTTATCCCTCCAGGTACGAAGTTCAGACCAAATTTGATCATCAGGGGGAATTGATTTCTCTTTGATTCTCTGCAATTTAAATACACAATTAAGTCACTTATTGAATAACAACGATAATCAAGTTAATTTTTGTTGGAAATGAAATTTCAACAGATTAAAATCTTATTGGGATATTGATTAACAATCAACTGATGAAAAACTTAACCATCTTGATGAATGGAAACTTTTGAATGTGAAGGAGTTTTTGACTTAATTGTAAACAATTTAACTTGATTGTTATTGTGATTAACTGAACAATAACATTCACTACCAATATATAACATGAAACCATAGATGATGATCAATAAAATATCAACAATTTGCTTCCTGATAAACTGTCAATTATTGTATCATTTTGGTTTGAACGGAAGTTAATCATTCTTAAATTGTGACGATTATGATTCCTAACGATTAAGGATGATCAAGAAAGAGATATAATCAAATCTCACTTGAGCCATTAAAATGAGCTAAAGGTAAATGATTAAAATGAAAATGATTTACTTGGTTAAGCAAATTCATTGACACTAAACGATTAACTGATTTGCGACTAAATTGTTCACACAAAATCCAAACAATCAATAATCATTTACTACCTGAAAGATTAAACTAAAAACTTTTCGGCTCTTTTTTTAGACACAAATCAAAGACATCGATTGATATTTATACTCATCATCAGTTGACAATTAGACTTGAATTGAGGGACATTCATGTCTACACAGGTAAGAAAATCGGTCGTTACCTTTTCGAGGGAAACGAGGTCAAGTCCAGCCTCTTCCAGTTCACATTGAAGACGAACCCGTTCCGCTGGGTCGGGACATTTGGCCAGTAAACTGTTCAAAAACATTAGAACTGTACTTTCAAATCCATTGGCTGATGAACCATTTGCTGAATTAAGCACTGAGATTAACAATTTAAATCTAACTGATTCACCAAAAATTATCCTCATTGTTGAAATTGCCTCGAGCACTTTACCATCTCCTTCAGGATCGATGTTGCAAACTTTAGTCAATAACTGTCATTAGTTAATTAAAGTAAAAAAAAGACAACAATTAACATCTCTCTCAATGTTCATACGATGATTTAATAATTGTAACCGAGTGAAATTCAATATATTTATACCAATTAATTTGATTCTCACACATCAACTTGAGACATTAATTAAAAGTTATTCAATTAAGATTTCAATAATAATAATACATATAGATTAGTTAATTAGCTGATTGTGATGATTAATATATAATTAAATTAATCAGTCTATTTAAAAACAATATGATTGTGTTTTTTTTTATGTTTTCACCAAACAAAAAGTGATTTGTTAATTGTTACATTTATATTAATATATATGAAAGTGTCTCGCTAATTATTGTATATATGGTCTAATAATTAACTAATTGTGACTTACCTCTAAAGCGATTACTCTTGATTTAGTTAAATTTGAGACGATACATGAAGCCAAAGTTAGGAGACCATTTCGATGTGATAATATCTTAACCAGGGCTTTCTATTAATTAAATTATCGAAAAAATTTAATTGTAATGATTAGTGTAATGTTTAGATAATCAGTCTGTAATCGGATTAAATTTGATTGTAAACTTACTGAATTAGCTGTTGTTGCATATTTTAAACACAGTAGACAATCATATTCATCGGTCTGTTAGAAAACAATTAAACAATTAGCGATTTAAAATTAGTAATGGTCATCGTGAGGATTAAAACATATCTTTAATTGTTCAATCATGATTAAGATAATGAGAAATGAGTAGAATCAAATTTTGAGCAACAATTAAGGAAACTTTTTCTCGCTCTTCTCGATCATATTCATTTTAACGTTATTAATTTATCATTAGAATGAAATTAAAGTTATTTTAATAGAGAAAAGTTGGAAAATTTTCTCGAAAATTATTCTTAATTGTTATCGACTTTGATTCATCATTTCGATCATTATTCGAGTTCAATGACTGTTGAAGATATTAAACTTAGAACTTTTTTTTTGCTCGAACTGACCATTGCCCTTTTTAGTTGATGTTGTCGATCGCGATTTTTGATCATCTTGTTTTTATTTGGTTGTTCTCTTCCCCCTGAGATGACCATTCCTGGACACTGTTGACGATTGAGGCTACTTCGAAGTAGATCAAGAAGCCATGAGATTCCATGATGAGGTTCATCGATAAACTCATCAACGAAACTGATTAAAACAAGAAGACGAAAGTAAAAGTTTGAATAAACTTTGAAAAGAATCAAAATATCAACTATCAATAGACTTAATTACCTTCCTTGTGCAATTCTTAAATCTTCAGCTAATTTCCTGAGAAGTTCAGATAATTTGGGAGTTTCAATGGATAATCCTCCCTGATATGAGTTATCCTTTAATCCGTCCGATTCATAATTTGAATTTTCAAGTTTCTCCTTTTCAACTTGACGTTTCAGGTAAAAAATGTAATCAAATGGTGACAAAAATGGAGGTCGAGGTGTCATCTGAATGAGTTAAAATAAGTAAACAATTAACAACATAAAATCCATATTAAGTTGATGATAATCATGTCAATTGACTGATAACAAGATTGTTATGAATTATGATCGTAATCCGATTGATAGACATCATTAAGAGGTTAAATCACAATGAGTTAGTTAATTGTTGTAACCAGAAATGTGAAAAGTTGACAAAAAAGTTTTGGGTCAAAAGTTGAATTAATAATAATACAAACAATATTGTCACCGGGCTTTGGGTCAAGAGTCTTGATATCTCTCATCGGATGGTAATGATGATGACCACAATTTATTATCTCTACGGGATTAATATAACAATTAACCTCCACTAATCATCTAATCACGATTCAATTAAACAATTGTTATTCAATGTCTATCATTTTATTCAATTTGTTTTCATTGTTGATGATGATGATGAAAATTATCATCATCATCAACATAATACAAATGATGATACCAAAAATAATAATATCTTCAATTACAATTAACTAAAATTTCAATTTAAAATCCTCTCGTATTGTAATTCACAATCTAAATTGTAGTTATTATTATTGTTCCCATTTTATCATTAAGGAAAAAGTTTACAATTGAAACAAGTTCTCATATTAATCACTTTGGTGTAATCACCAAGATTAGCAAAATAATTAGAATTGATTGTTATTAAGAAGAAGAAAAAAAGAAATTGAATTAACAAGAATGAGAGAAAAACTTAATTTTCGAGCAAAATTTTCAATCAGTTTCAATTAAGAAATTAATCTAAATTCACCCTGCACTGAATCGAGTCTAGAACTTTAAATCATATTGACATTTGAATCAATTAGCTTACCTTATATGATGAATTGTATTTCAAGCAATCCATGAATATAATTGTTGACATAATTATAATCACAATTAACAAACATTAGACTAAAATTTGAGAGACTTGAGAAACACGTTAATCCAACATTGTTGATTGTTGAGAGTTAAATATAAACTTTTCACACAATCAGTATGATGATTACTGTGAAGAGTCAATGATTAACAAATTGTTAGATGAAGATATCAATCATTACCATCAAAATCACAACTGATTGTTAATGATTATATTGATTGAGAGAACGAGAAAAAAAACCAGAAATAAAGGTAAATATTATGATAGAAATTTAAACTTCCGTAGTTAATGATAATCATTGAGCCTTGATAATAACAACATTGTCGAAACAATTTACTTTGGTGTTAAAATGTGTATTCCTCTTAAATTGTCAATAGTTAATCACCTTAGTTAACAACAATGGTTTGAAACACTTAATCTGGTTCACTGATTGTTTCAATAATCAGCTATACATGTACATGTATATGTTAAAATTACAGTTATTATTTTATCATTTTACTCAACAATCAAGTTAATCACAATGCGTATTTTGGTTACAAATGGGTTAATCATTTGCCAAAAACAATAACAAATACTGGTATTAACATTGTGATTAACTAATCATCTTTAAATTGTTATCATATTATATTAATGACATTGACTTTTAGATGATAAACTTTCAACTTATATTTTAGGTAAATCAGTTTGTTGCAATTAACTAATATTACAATTTAAGTTAAAGGTTTGGCTTTGCTGTTTGTACCAACATTGAATATTTTATTGTAATGGTTTTGTAAGTTTGAGGCATGTTAATTGTTGCTGATGATAATCAATGATCATGATCACCAACTGATTACTTTAAATCCTGATCAACAGTCAAATGGTTTAGTTAATTGTGATAATTACCTTTGATGGTTCAATCTTACGCTTCTGGCCTATTGGGGTTGGCATTGAAATTAAAATGTCTTCTTCCTTTGGTAACATTGACAATTAACCACTGAAAACGAAATGAGATTAAAACAACAATTAGTTAATTGCGAGTTTATTAACAACTTTCCAACCAAAATTATAATCATATATTCAGATAGATCAAACTAATTGTGATGATTAAGATTGATTAGTTTATCGATTACCTTTCAAATTGTTATTATTATCAACAATTAACATGTCAATCTTATTGTGATAATCAAATTGATGAAGATTACAATTGAAATTATGATGAAATTTACATCAACTAAATGTAACAATTAATGAGTTTATTATAACTAATTGATGCTATTAAAGGAGTGGTAAAGTAATCAACAATTTAAATCCAATGAATGAGTTTAAATTGATCAATGAATATAAATAAAAACAAAACTCAATGAGTTAATCATGATTGTTGATCACAATTACGATTCAAATTTGTAAACTAAATTAAACTTATTTAATATTTTATTTGCATTTACAAAAATCTTAATTAACCATCATCACAATCATTAGTTTTATTTCATTAACTGTTAACAATTAACTTTAATAGTACAAAATGTAATCAATATTTTTTTTTTGCAAAATTTAACATTCTGATGATTCGTGTTGATTTAAATCACAATTTAAACTCAATTTAATTTATTGATTAAATTGTAAATTCCCACGGTATCAATTATATAAATGGACAGTCATGATTTAAGCCTCTGGCATTAATTAGTTTCCAATAGTTACAATTAATAGAATCACATTTAGTTGTAATAAATGTGAAAATTAAATTTAGTCTCATCAGTATTTTAATTGTTGGTCAATCAATTTGATTGACTCATTGAAACGATATATTAATTAACTGGTAAACAATTAACTGTTGATTCAATTTCACCTTAAACAAAAGTAAAGTTCACAATTAACATAACTAAATTAAATGTAAACTGATTAACTTGGGAAAGTTGATTAACTCTAACTGTTAGCAATCAAAAACATTGGAGATTTAAATTGCAACAATTAACCGTTGGAACTGTTCAACTAACTAAATAAACTAATTAAATGCCTTTAAGGGTTGGAATTGAATTTAAATTGTTCAAAAAAAACTTTGTTATCTTTGGTTGTTGATTTGTATTATTTGGTAATCAACAATTTAACTGTATGAATGAAACAACAGTAACAATTAAGATGATGAGAAACAACAATTAAACATAAACAGTTTCCCAATTAGATTTTCCCAAAGGAACCGGAAATCCTTTGACAGGACAATTAAGACACTTTCACTTTGAAATCAAGTTTCCACAATTAACCTTGAATGTATAACAATTAAGAGTTGATTCAAGTTCAACCTTAATCATCCTCATTTAAGATTAATATTTTGATAGTTAATTTGGTCCTTGTTTTACACAATTAACTAATCACTTGAAATTTGTTGAGTTGATCGATCAGCTCAAAATAGATTGTTAATTAATTTGAATAATTAAGTTAATGAATCAAATGTAAATCACCATGATGATGATTAATAAAATCATGTTTCTATTATTAAATTAACTTTGATGATACAAAGTAAATCAACCTAACGCCCCCGAGGGCAATTTAATCATAATTTCAGGTCATCAACAATTACGAGTTTGAAAACTATTATTATTTTTAAATTATCTTTCATATTCAGAATTAAAATCAATTTGATTTTCACCTCAACAATCAAAGTTTCTTGATTGTTAATTAATTTAAACACCAAAGTGAATTAAAATTACCGATAATATTTAGAGAAACTGTTTAATTTTTCGCGAAAAATTCAATTTAATTTACCTTCTAATCAATTTAATTGATCATCTTTTTTTTTGTTACACAATCAATAATGCCCTCGGTTATGGTTGATTAAATTATAGTTAATGAGCATCAATCATCATCGTTTTGTTGATTGTGATTAGATTAACAATCAGTAAAAGTTGATGATACTTTTCAAATTCAGATCTTAATTGTTGTGGAAACTAATAATTTACCAATTATTGTAAAGGTTGATGAACAGTCAGAAAAAAAGAAGCATCTAAAACAATTAAAACTCAGTGTTAATTGCGTGAAGTTTAATTGTCTTTTCCATGAGATTTTCCAAACATCTAATGATGCTAATTGTAAACAAGGATTTAAATTGTGATCAAAATGTTGATTATAATGAAGAATCATTTCTCCGTAAACTCTCATGAGCCGGAGAAAGTTTCATTTAAATCATGAGATTATTAAAGACAAACAGTAGATACTAGATGACCATTGGTCACTTTATCTAATGTCTAAGATTAAGAGGATAAGATAAGATAGATAGAGAGAGAGAGAGAGAGAGAGAGAGAGAGAGAGAGAGAGAGAGAGAGAGAGAGAGAGAGAGAGAGAAAAGGTGAACAAAAAATTAATTCGAAAATTTTTTACTCTCTCAACAAGAATGACTTGAATGATGATTACAAATGATGAGAAGATTAAGATTAAGATGATTAAGAATGCGATTATTTTACAATTGTCATTTGCTAATTAGAAGATAATTAATATGATGAAAGTTTCCTGTTGATTTAATTTTCAACCTTAATTATGGTTCTTGATTCATAGACTTACCTTGATTGTTTAGCTGTGTAATGTTAACACTTAGATTTAATTGTTTACCATTAAAAGGATATTACATGTAATTTAATAGCTTAGAGACTTGATTAGTGTTTTTAATGTTGTATTGGTAAACTATTGAGAGCTTGCCAACAATTTAAAAGTTAATTAACTTAATTGAATCTCTGTTTGTGTGGTCTAATCAATATTGTCAATATTAATTATGATTAAGGTAATAAGTGATAATAAGGTGATATAAGTTTGAAATTATTGTGACTGTGATTGTGTTAATCAATTAATGGCAGTTGATTAATTACCTGTTGACAAATGAATTGTTAATCAATTTTAATAGTTGAATGATTGAAACAAAAAAAACAGTAAAATCAACAGAATCATAATTGACTTGACTAATTATTCAGTTAATTAGCTTTAAATGTGTTTTACTTTTTTTTAATTGTTTAAAATTTTCTTAATTAAAAAATTGCTACCATATTTTAACAGTTTAAGATTAACGATCGTTGAGCATTTGGAGTGTGTTAATCGTTGATCACGTTGATTTACAAAGAATCACCAAGATTAACAATCAAGTTAATTTAAACCATTAATCAACTAGCGGCATAAATCAACTCGCAATATCAGACAATCGGTTTGTAATCGTCAACAATAAACATCAATCACAATTAAGTTGATGGTAAATATATCGAGCTACCAATAAATAGATGATTATAACTATTGAAATTAAGTGTTAATCAACATGATAATTACGTACATGGTTAACAATCAACATGAATTAATAAGATATTATTATTAACCTGATGGTCAATTGTAAATCATGTTCATTGGATATAACAGCAATTTAACACCGTCCAGTTTTAAATTGCTGGTTCTTGTAAAGTAACTTTGAATCAACAATTTGATTGTTGTTGACCACTTTGATTTAAATTGTGTTCCAATCATTTAATAGTTGGTTGTGATTATTGAACTAACGATAAAAAAAACTGATACTAATTTTGATTTGATTTGTTTGTATTACTTTAAATTGAGATAATCAACATATTCATGATATAATTAGTTATAATGACTGGTTGATTAGTTTGACCTTTAATTAAAAACTTTAATAATGACTGACAATCAGAAAAACTCCATAATCAAGCAATTAAATCAATGTCGTTAACTCAATTACAGATCATTCAAATATAATGTCAACTTATTGATATTCACTAAATGGTCCAATCACAATTTACACAAGAATAACATTTAAACGATAATAATAGTAATCAAAAGATGATGAAACAATTAGGATTTTATGACGACCAATTAATTTAGAGTAAGAAAAATAACCAAAAGAACCGGACAAATGCCCTCGGAATCAATTTAATTGACAAAAAGTCTTCTAGTGAATTTTAATTCACTACACAACAATTAAGCTACTCTGGTTTCTTTACTTTTTTGAATATTATCTCTATTGAAAGCTCCTAACGAAAGCGATATTCATAAAGATGACAAAGTTTTCATATTTATAACTTTTTCTTCAGCTTTATGAAAGGATAGACTTCGATAATGATAAAGTCACAAACATCGAAAATGTCTTAATAAACTCGATCGTTAATTGCTCCAGTAGTTATGTAAGGGATTAACTCGTTGCCTAGATTATCAATTATTCAAGTTCAGTTCATGATTGTTTCTTGTTTTCTTGCGTTTGTATTGGTCTATCAAGTACAGAAATGGTTACTGTTTGTTTCTTGTCTCTTTACGTCCGAAAAATTTGCAGAAACTTTTTAGACTTTTTTGGTCTTCGTCCTCAACTTCAAATACTTATATGGTTGATATTTACTGTAGATTAGATTTCTTGATTAGCTTTTAATCCAACAATTAGATTTAATTACTAAAAGGGCAAGTTAATTTGTTGATTATTTAAGATCAAGTTTACTTGACCTTAAAAAATCAATGGTTTCAGCTAAATAGAGTCTAAAATCACACCTTAATCTAGATTCATATTCATTGAGATTGAAAGGATAAGTTGGTAACTTAATCATCTTCATTAATGGAGGAGGAAGACAAGAAGAAGATCATCTTAATACATAACTAATAAGCCTCACCTATTTGGATGAATATCCAGTGAACAGGTAACTATATATTTAAGACGAAGGATAAAAGTTATCAAGGTGATTATGAATTCTGATTAATCTATTATTCAGAACTGAGGGTGGATTAAAGAGATTAGAATTATGAGAGAGAGAAAATAAAAACTCTATTATTTTTGCTCTTCTTACCTTTGAGCATTTTCATCATTATCATCTTAATACCTCAAAGAGGATGGTTGAAACAATTAGATTACTAATAGACGATGATTAAGGTTCGGTCAATATTAATATCGCTTATTTCATTTGGGTTCTGACCTTTGAAGGGTAAGTCTAAAGCCTTAACTTATAAATAACTTGATTAGATCACAATTAG